TTAACAAACGAAAGTATTTATGAATATTTTATTGACAATCAACATACGACAAGTCATCAGTATGTTGTGTCTGGTCTACGACAATTGAATTCGACGGAGATTCAATACAGTTGTTCAAATTCTTCGATGAAGAATCTTCCAATCACCAATGAACGATTCAATTTTACATCAAATTATCAGATGAGAGTTTATACTTCAGGTTGTTATTATCTTGATAACAATAATCAATGGAAATCAGATGGATTAGTTGTTGGTTTATTGACTAATCATTATCAAACACAATGCTTTTCCAATCATTTAACAAGTTCTCTTGTTTGACAGACATTACCAATTGACTGAACTCTTGCATTTCTCAATAATGACTTTGTCAAGAATAAAACATTCTTTGTGTTTTTTTCAGTTATATTATTCTTATTCTTATTATTATGACAAACAATATACGGAAGAAGATATTACAGTAGAAAAGAATGTGAAGATGCATTCAGAATACTATAATGTCATCGTTCTATATATTCATTTTAACGGCTTTGGTTTTGTTGTACAGTACCGCTTGTACGTAGTTTGACTTTCGAAATAAACTTCAAAAAATAATATCGCTTCGCTTGTAACGAAGTATCGGGATGGTAACTCCGTTACTGCTGTAGCATTTATTTTATTCTGATTACCATGACAAGGTGGAGGAGCAACGTCACTGTCATCCTCGATTGCCGATCTGAATTATACAAAAAAAGAGATGCTCGAGTCAAATGAGAGCTACAATCGATCATGAGGCTAGAACGGTTTCATTTGTCGGAACAGAAGGCGCACGCATACTATATGATCTTATTCATGATTGCCACTTATACTTTTAAGATTGGGTAGAGATTAGAGTTCGGCAGAAAGACAAACTGTATAGTTCAAATAATGATACTATATAAGACCTTTTTTTTCTTGAGATTTTTTCTTAAACGGTCTTACCTTTATACCGAATGGGTTTACGACCAAACTGCAAGATAGAATAAGTATCTCCTGATCGGGATCTCAACTTTCTAACATAGATGCATCCAAATTTCAAAATTGTACTTTTTGTTTTCATTTAAGTATTTTATAGGACACCACATCTCGAGAAAATTTCCAAGGAATGTCGTATTTTATTTCAACGTTTTAAAAACATATTTTTGTTAAGAAATTTGTTGCTTGAACACGATTTTTCCGTTTATAAGAATGTGTAAATTGAAGTAATTGAATAACATTAATCAAGAGACAACATAGACCTATCAATATTAATTTCGTCGGTGCAGAAATGTTCATTTCGACAATTATAAATGCTGTGATTGCGAACGCCGAAGATCCAAGAAGTAACAACACAAATAAAGTAAATATGANTGTTCATTATATATAAAAACGAAACAGATTGCAGTCATTGAGGTCGAATTTGAGAATATTTCATTAGGTGGACAAGAAACTTTGGGATATTCTCGAGATGTCTCCAAAAGAAAGCAATCACTCGTAGATGATGGGCAAGAATCATTGGTTGATATACGTGCGACATGAAAGACACATCCATCTATAAGTAACAGGAAACCGATCCATGTAGTAAATGCTAATTGAAAGATCATAGAGAAACGAAAACGTCGTGAAGAGAAAAGATTGATATTAATACCATAAAAATTGAGAATTTCTTTTTGGTTATGTAGTTGATTAATTTCAAATAATTTTCCAATTAATTCAGTTAATATTCGATTTGATATCGGAAGAAATAAACATATTTCGAGAATAAATGATAAAAAATGACCTCCAAATAATATCAGTCTATAATGATCGAAATCTAATCCCATTATTTAGAATAATCTAGAAGATAACATAAATTCACGTATGAAATCCAAATCAAATGATCAATAAGGCTGAAACGGTGTATTTCTTATATGTAATTCGACTAAAGAAGAAATTTACATATATTTAGATGAATGTCAGTTGACAAGACATTAATATACGAATAGAAAAAGTAACGTAAATCCATATAAAGAACGAATTTCAATAGGTTTTCTNCAACAATATACTACTCATTTGTATGAGCATCATACGAGTAACAACACCTTCGATACTCAGTTGGCGTCGTAAAAATTGTTGAAAATTATACCATGTCAAACCAAATAAGACTAATGTCAATAAAGCTGGCAGAAAATAATAACCCACTATTGCGCAATAACTTGTATATACATTGATAATTCGAATTGAACCTTTGCAAACAGATATCGTCGGTGTAATTTCATAAATCGTGTTGGATATTAACAATGGACTAAATATTAAAATATAAATCGTCGCTGTAGATATGATAATCGATTTAGCTCTTGTTCTTGTTAGTAATCTTTGCCAATTTGGATTCGGTGATAATATTACAAATTGACACAATCCTGCAAAACAGTAACACATGAAACTAAAACAACCGCCAGCATATGTTAACCAAGTAGTTATTTTACAAAAAAATAATAATCGATTCACTAGATCAAATCCAGTAAAAATTCGAATCATATTTGTCCATAGACCAACGTTTATAAATAATAAACTGCCGATTGCTGCACCAACTAAAAACAGTGCATTAGGATGTTTGTTCAACGGCGAAATGAAAAGAAATACAAAACAATTGCATAAATTTCCAATTGTACATATTACAATTATGAAAAAACCGAAAGTTTTATACAGTTGGTCTCCGAGACTGAGAATATAACTCGCTGTTTCGGCATCTGAGGACATTGCAACTATAAAAGTCAAATTTCATATGTAAGCTCAGAAGACATGAAATTTATAAGAAAAAGAATTCCATCTGCGTGATTTAATGTGTTTGAGTATACACGAACATGTTTATTTAGAATTAAGACAAATTAAAGCTAATAGGACTGACAATACATTTGACCCAGACCATAATGTCATTTTCCTCTGAGCACTTGAGTAAAAGAAAAATGATAAATAGAAATTTTTAACAGAATAAGCAAGAAAAGAGGACGACTTTTGGAAATGAGAAAACCTAGATGAATATCTTCAACCTAACTTTCATCTAGGTATCTTATAGTTATTTTACTCTAAATTCTGTACACGAAATCCAATACATCGAGAAACTTAGTGAATAGTCGGAAATTAGATTGATGATAACATTCTAAAATAAGAAAATCAAGTCTTGTTGAATTATTTTGTCCTATACTTGAGCTCTTCGAGATAAGCTAACCTTCTTTACATTGTGAATTAAGAAAATAAAAGCTTTTCATTCCAGCATAAATCTTCTCAGAGTTGATTAAATTAAATCAAATATCTTGTCAATTTGACGCAAATTCACCATGAATAAGTACATTTATTATGTGTATATGTCATAACAGTGAACGGTCTAATGATTAATGATGAAAAACTTTGACGAAATGATTTAATTAAAATGGAAACGATTGTAAATACATGTTTTGCCATAAGATATCGTTTACGATCGAATCTATTTTGACTTTCTAATTGATTTTTCGACAGAAACTGCTGCTTTTTTTTCTTGGTACGCAGATATTCCGCGTGATACAGTGAAAGTATATCTAAACGGAGAACAAGATCAAAATATGAAAGATGACACTCGAAGATCTTTGAAATGAAATATTTGAAATCTGATTATCAATATATATTTTTATCATTTGAAAGCCATTGTGAAGTGATATTCAATCCAACCTTCACATTCCATTAGGAAAATATCATTTTTCTCAAACCTACATCGAGTTCAAACATGTTCCCTATTTGTCACTTCAATGGTTACAGAATAACTCAATTGTCAATTGATGATGCTCCAGAAATGTTCAATATTCAAAAGTATTTTTATTGCTTTTGCGATGAATATCTTATCCTGGAAACCAATCGAATTTATTTATATGAAATAGAATCGATTATACCAATAGATTCTTTCTTTTCCGTTCAAATACTTCATCCATCCTTTCAAATTAATGAATACCTGTTTGTTTACATCTTTGTAGTCTGGATTTTGATAATTTTCAACGTTTGGTTGCATATGTGTTTCGATGTTATTTTGAATTTTTATATCTTTCAACATCGAATCATGGGTTATATTTGAGTGAATATTGATGAGAATCACTTGTACTATCGTAAATGTAATATCTAAGCGCTTTTCATGTTGATCGATAGACAGAATATGGACATATGTGGTACATCTTGAGATCAATGCTACGCTCAAATTTTCTTTTCAGCAAAATAAAATTGTCATGCAAAAGAGAGCCTTTTCTTCATTGTTTTAACATCAACAACATCTAGTGTCTTTGACTGAAATAAGGAGAAATATCTTCAGCTATCAAAACCATGGAACATAAGGAATTGTTTGAAATATAAACATATTTCTATGTTCATTCTAGTTATCTCACATCTGCTCATTTCATTCAGTCTTTTGTTATTCTAGTACAAAATAACAGAATTCATTTCTAAGAGTTCTCATCATGGATGCATACGACCAAGAATTAGGTAAAATTTCATCAATTACCTATTCATGCACACGTTTTTCATATTTTAGAAAATAGTACAAGTAAAAGTCTTGAAGGTGTGGTACAGATGAAAGGAGCATTCTCATCTAACCTTATGAAGGTTGAAATGAAATAGACTGATGTGCTACTCGATAAATACACTGATTTCCTTTGTATCTAAAAGCTCTTTCGAGTACATCATAAGATTCCACAATGATGTCCGTTATGATCGATCATAAATCTTTGAACACGACTATCCCATTGATTCCCCATTTACTGTAATGGAACACTATAATGATTATTGGGCGATAGGAAGGTGACACTGATGTTACTAATATAAGCATATATTGGATTGTCCGATTGGGTAAATGACGTGCTAGTTGTATTTTATTGCTCGCGACGAGTGTAATGTTTCTGTCACGTAATTAATTCGATCTGCATAGATAAATCTTAATGAACATAAGTTGACAGAATCGTTGATCATTACCATATGAATACAAGTAAGAATGTTTTTCTCAAACAAAATCCCTTGCAATTATAATTATTCAAAATAATTTTATTGATTTACCAAATACTTTCATCTAATTAGAAAACTCCTATTCGAACTGAATGGGATGACTTCATGTCAAGGAATGTATTTCTGATCTGTAATCATGAAGCATTTCTAAATAAACACCATTTGTCCATCCAAAACCCTCTTGAACTTGATATTCTCCTCCACTCGCTAATTTATCGATATTCACAACATCGTATTTCTCCATCATTTTTCCAGTTTCTGCAAAAACACGTTCATTCAAATTCATCCATCGTTGACGAATCGTCTGAGCAAGTTTCTCATACTGAGGATATCGAAGTAAACTACGATAAGCAATGAACTGAAGTGGTGCCCATCCATTCGGATAATCCCATTGTTGTGAACTTTGTTTTGCTATGGTGGTCACAAGACCCCCATCATACAAAAACAAAGATTCAGTTTGCTCAGCCACGTGTTTCACTTGATCTTCTGTTGAAACATCAAGCCACAAAGGAAACAGACCAGCGAGAGTGACACGATCTGTTGGTTTCTTTTGAATAAAATCATAATCTGTAAAAAATTGCCGCTTATCTGACCACATATACTTTCGAATAGCTTGACAACGACGTTTTGCTTCATCTGTTTTTCCTATCGACAATTCTAAATGATATAACAAACAGTTGAGATCAACGGGAAGGAGATTTGTAATCATAATTGTTGATAAATCACTTTCATCTTCCATCCATCGTGAACTAAAATCCCATCCACATTCACCAGCTGCTGTTAAATCCAAATAAATATTGACATTCTTGGAGTTTTTCGCTGTCTGAACATCTTCAAGAAAAGCTTCGGGCCTTGGTTTGTTGCCATTATCAACATAGTAACGGTTTAGAATTGTTCCATTATCTAATGTCACTGCTCTTTTCGTCATCCAGAATTCGTATTCGATTTCTAATTCATGTTGATATTTCTTCGTTTGTCCTAACAGTTGTGTCATTAACGAAAAGAACGGCGGTTGACTTTGATCGACATAATATGATCGATTTCCACCTGGAATGTGTCCAATTGTTCGAATTAAATAAGCAAAATTGTCCAACATGTGATTTGCCAATTCGATCTCACTCGACCGAACTAAACCCAACATTGTGAAATATGTGTCCCAATAATAAAATTCACGAAAACGACCACCGGGTACAATAAATGGATATGGAACTTCGATGATTGATGAATAATTTACGCTTTTGACTGTTCGTGTTAACAAAGGCCAAAGACAATGACAGTATTCTTCGAGGGAACGCTTTTCATTGATGATCAGATCGATTGTAGATGGTGCAATGAAGTGTTCGAAAACAAAAGAAGAAAGATTGAATGAAGATTTTGTTTTCTCTTGACGATATTCGTTGAGAATTTCATATGGAGTAAATTGTCGTGAAATTGCATCACAAAAGGTTTTAGAATCGAAAAATATACGTGATGTTTGAATTTCTTCAAATAGTTCTTCATAAATTTCGTCTGGTGGTTGCATCATCTTTTGCATCGTAATATGAAACGAAAAGTGACTACAGCACATTATAAGATAAGGATTTTGGTCAACATGAAACGAGATAAACTTGAAAATTTCAGTATATCAATGAAAGAAAGCAAATAAGATCTAACAACAAATGATTATTGAATACAGACGAAGATCTTGAGGGTAAGAGACAGGAAAATATCATCAAGAAGATCAATAAGGCTCGTCTATGTTTTTAATGAATCTGGTGTAGCCATCATCAAATATGTTTTCTGAAATAGAGTGAATGGTATAATAACACTCAAATAAATGGAAATAAAATGTGTTAATGCATTGTTTCAATTGTTTAAATATATTCTTTTATCAATAGTGCTGAAATGACATTCTAGAACTGTAAAGCAATGGTTATTATTAGAAAACACAAAAGTATTAGGCATTACCTGTAATAAACAATTAGATCTATTCGAGACGTTCATTTTGACATGTTCGCTATAACAGAATCTATTCAAATAGAAGCAACCTATAACGCTCATTCATCAAATCAACTGATTCGTGCCTTTGTCAATGTTCTTCGAATTCGTTTTTCTTTGACAATGATCTATCTTGTTTTTGTCATCATGCGGATACAACACTGGATTTTATTGGCCTCATTGTTTAATATCCCAATAATCCATCTTAATCGCGTTTTTGTTGTCGTTGTTAATTTAAATCTTTCAGAGAAGCTATTTCCAGTCCGCTATCACGATACAGTTGATGTGAAAGTGTCATGTCAATTGCAATAATCTCGACATAAACACAATGCTTCAACATGGCCATTTACATTCACTGGTAGAACAAACAGCAGGTCGATGACGCCATTTTTTCTACGAACAAATCTTATTTCAATTATCTGAAGTTAAATCAAATGAAATTTCTTTCGTATTGAATTGCTGATATTTATTGCTAAAATCGGATTATTTCTGTTGTTTTACACAATTTCAAAAATTATTGACTTGATCTTGACTTCTTTTCTTATAGAGTTTACTGGAAAAAAGGAATCTTCCGATTGATATCAATTTTTTTTAACTTTGAGATACTTTCCATCATACAAACTTATTTAATATCCAGAACTTGCGTTACCAACTATCACTGTCTACACTTTTCCATAGGTTTCCGGAGGCTATTTTTTCACTGTTTTACAAATTTTCGCCCTTTTCAAAGATCCATGTATATCAGTTGTAGTCTGTAACATATTCAAGATACTCATTTTCATAGTATCTCTGATTCCTGGGCATTGAGTGACAATATGCGACTTTGACATTATAGTTGATTTATCTGAAACGATAGTTAATCTGTTAAGTTCGACAGTGTCGATGTTTATGGATTGAATTAAAACGTTTGACATCCACAGTCACACAGAAATCGGTAATTAATGGTATAACACACTATTTGGAACATATCTAGGATGTTTTTCAAAGAGAACAAGAGAGAAATAGTACTTGAGAAAATGCGGTAGAATATATTTAAGGAAAAAATGAATAAAATTGTGAATGTGAGGTGTGATCAGAGAGTGTAAAGAGTTTTGATCTATTTTCATGCTGTGTTCAAATGAAGACTAGAGTAAATATCTGCTCTGTTTTTTATTCATGATGAATTAGAATATTCTTCGTTTTGAAAATGATGATAATGAAATACTTAAGTAGAGATGCTCTTCAATCTTATTTTAACAAAGAATAAAGATCTTATATTCTTAGCTCGTACCAGAGCACAAAAAAGCTCTTGTGCATAAAACCACCAGTATGCTTGCAGTATCTCGATGCAACACGCTCGCGAAACGATCCTCCGATTCATATATAACAGATACTATTAAAGTCGCCATTTTCAGTCTTTAAATTTGAATAAGATACGTCATGTTTGCATTGTAGATGCAATTTTGAAGGCAAAGTTGAAGTGCTATCAATTATTCCATGTTAGTCGAATTTTAGTACGATGTTTTTATAGTTTTATCCATTAAATGAAATACAGGATGATGAGTGTATCGGTATTTCTGTTTTTGTTCTTTTTATTAAATATTCGCAAGAGCTCAACAATGGCTTGGGTAGAGTTCCACAAATGGGCAACAGTTGTGTATCGATTAACATTAATGACATTTATTTCTACTATAGGTTGAAGTAGTTCGAATATATTTCATTATAACATAAATGAAAAAGTGCAATTCAAGATACGATCCGTTCGTTAGGCATGGAATCTACGTAGTTATTGTTGGTTACATCCAATCTGATTCAGAAGCATTCCCAAACGGTACGAAAGCTTCTGCTGTCTATGTTCATTCACGAAAAGTGAAATTTACCGTCTATTCTGGTATGAAAATAGCAGATGTCAAGTTTTCACTGATTTATATGAATGGATTTTGATTTAATAGATACGAGAATTTTAAATTGTCTATGTTTACAATCTAGCTCACTGGGATATGAAACAAAAAATGCAAATACTTATGCATCATTGAATGTAGATTATTTAAAATACGATAGTTGTTATTCAGATATCCAGTCATGCGTGATGCATTGAATGCAACCGGAAGACCAACACTCTATTCTGTGTATGGTATGATTTACGAGAAAATGATTGATTTACTATATTCGAATTTAATTTCAATACAATGGGTTGTGGGCAAACCAGCAACATGAGCAGCTAATGTTGACAACAGTTGGCATACAACACCAGACGTTGCTGATAACTATAGGTCCATGATTGAAATCATCGACTTTGCGAAGATACGAGTCCGGTACGTTTTGCCGACAATTACGGTTTTACTAACAATTTGTCTTATTAGCATAATCTTAAAGGTATCAGTCCAAATCATACTTTATAATAAACTTCGCCACGGCCTCCATGACCCTCACCCTTCTTAGCCGTGATCTTGAACTACATCTTCACCCTTACCTACGCCCTTATCCTTACCATTACATATACTCTCACTTTCACTCTCATCCACACCCTCAAAACAATGATGACAAAATAATTTGTTAGTAAAATTTTAATTGTCGGCAAAGTGATTGTCGGTAAAGCGAATGCGACCCAATTATTAGACGCAATGCGAGTTTACAGAAATGTACTTTTTTCAAATAAAAAAGAATTACATACATGACCGAAGAAGATTTTCTCATAAATAACCCAGATTCTTCATATCTTATCATTTCTTTCCCATCAGCTTCCCTTGATGATCGAAATATGAGATTGTTCGCTTGAATAACTAATAGGATGCAAACAGCATTTGAAAAGAAAGTCTTCATGATCCTGTCACATCGCACTAGTCAAAATTTAGTGCATCCTCAATTTCTTTTGCTTTCAATCCTATGAGACGGAAACAAATCCTGTATTAATCATTTCATGTCATATTTTTCTTATAAAAAAGCAAAGAATATTTGAGATCTTTTTTCATTTGTAACATGTCTTCGACTAGTGTAAGTCCTGGTCTGCTAATCGCTCCAACACAGTTGAATATCTACTTTGGATTATTTATATATGTAACTGGTGTTTTTGGCAGTATTGGAAATGTTATTATTTACAGATCTCGATCACTACGCGATCGCGCTTGTTCTGTTTATTTACTTTGGCGATCTGTTGTTGATTTTGTTTATATGAATTCAATTCTTTTAACACGGATTTTGCAAAANGAAGGAGATTTGTAATCATAATTGTTGATAAATCACTTTCATCTTCCATCCATCGTGAACTAAAATCCCATCCACATTCACCAGCTGCTGTTAAATCCAAATAAATATTGACATTCTTGGATTTTCTCGCTGTCTGAACATCTTCAAGAAAAGCTTCAGGCCTTGGTTTGTTGCCGCTATCAACATAGTAACGGTTTAGAATGGTTCCATCATCTAATGTCACTGCTCTTGTCGTCATCCAGAATTCGTATTCGATTTCTAATTCATGTTGATATTTCTTCGTTTGTCCTAACAGTTGTGTCATCAACGAAAAGAACGGTGGTTGACTTTGATCGGCATAATATGATCGATTTCCACCTGGAATGTGTCCAATTGTTCGAATTAAATAAGCAAAATTGTCCAACATGTGATTTGCCAATTCGATCTCATTCGATCGAACTAAACCCAACATTGTAAAATATGTGTCCCAATAATAAAATTCACGAAAACGACCACCAGGTACAATAAATGGATATGGAACTTCGATGATTGATGAATAATTTACGCTTTTAACTGTTCGAGTTAACAAAGGCCAAAGACAATGGCAGTATTCTTCGAGAGAACGCTTTTCATTGATGATCAGATCGATTGTAGATGGTACAATGAAGTGTTCGAGAACAAAAGAAGAAAGATTGAATGAAGATTTTGTTTTCTCTTGACGATATTCGTTGAGAATTTCATGTGGAGTCAATTGTCGTGAAATTGCGTCACAGAAGGTTTTAGAATCGGAAAATATACGTGATTTTTGAATTTCTTCGAATAATTCTTCATAAATTTCGTCTGGTGGTTGCATCATCTTTAGAAAGTACACAAATTAAAGCCTTTTCATCATATAATATGAAACGAAAAGTGAATACAGCGCCTTAGAAGATAAGAATTTTGGTCAACATGAAAAGAGATAAACTTGAAAATTTCATTATATCAATAAAAGAAAGCAAATATGACCTAATAACAGACGATTATAGAATACAGACGAACATCTTGAGGGTAAGAGACAGGAAAATATCATCAAGTATGTTTTCTGAAATAGAGTGAATGGTATAATAACACTTAAATAAATGGAAACAAAATGTGTTAGTGCATTGTTCCAAGTGTTTAAATATAATCTTTTATCGGTAGTGCTGATAATGACATTCTAGAACTGTAAAGCAGTGGTTATTATCAGAAGACACAAAAGTAGTATGCATTACCTCTAATAAACAATTAGATCTATTCGAGAGATTCATTTTGACATGTTCACTATAGCAGAATATATTCAAATAGAAGCAACTTATAACGCTCATTCTTCTTTTCCCTCTTCTATTCGCAATGACAACTTCGATAACTGTCATTGAATAATCTCTCATTCATCAAATCAACTGATTCGTGCCTCCGTCAATGTTCTTCGAATTGATTTTTTTTGACAATGACCTATCTTGTTTTTTGTCTTTATGCGGATACAACATTGAATTTTATTTTACTCCACATTTGGGATCAATGATTGTTTCTGGATTTGTATATATTCAGAAGTTCGGTTTTAATATCGATTAGCTTTAATTATAAACTTTTTTGAAAAAAAGATTTTATCGGCTTCATTGTTTAATATCCCAATAATCCATCTTAATCGCGTTTTTGTTGTCGTTGATCAACATTTTGAACAGCCGAACGTTTTCCAAACAATTCATTGTAACGATTTGTTGTTTTAATGCTTTTTAATCTGGAACTAATTCATTAAAATTCAATTTCATTTGATCAAATTCTTTTCTGTTTCTTTCTTTTGATTGAAACAAATTGTTGACGCTGTTGATTTAAATCTTTCAGAGAATCTATTTCCAGTCCGCTATGACGATACAGTTGACGTGAAAGTGTCATGTCAATTGCAATAATCTCGACATAAACACAATGCTTTAGCATGGTCATTTACATTCACTGATAGATCAAACATCAGGTCGATGACGCCATTTTTTTCTACGAACAAATCTTATTTCAATTATCTGAAGTTAAATCGAATGAAATTTCTTTTGTATTGAATTGCTGATATTTATTGCTAAAATCGGATTATTTCTGTTGCTTTACGCAATTACAAACATCATTGACTTGATCTTGACTTCTTTTCCCGTAGAGTTTATTGAAAAAAAAAGGAATCTTTCGATTGATATCAATTTCTTTAACTTTGAGATACTTTCCATCATACAAACTGATTTGCTATCGAAAAAAGCCTGCATCACCAACTATCACAGTCTGCACGTTTCCATAGGTTTCCGGAGGCGATTTTTCACGGTTTTACAATTTTTGGCCCTTTTCAATGATCCATGTATATCAATTGTAGTCCGTAATGTATTCAAAGATACTCATTTTCATAGTATCTATGATTCCTGGGCATTGAGTGACAATATGTCACTTTGACACCATAGTTGATTTATCTGAAACGATAATTAATGGTTTAACACACTACTTGGAACATATCTTAGATATTTTTATGAGAGAACAAGAGAGAAATACTACTTGAGAAAACGTAGAATATATGTAAGGAAAAAATGAGTAAAATTGCGAATGTGAGAAGTGATCAGAGAGTGTAAAGAGTTTTGTTTTATTTTCATGCTGTGCGTTGAAATAAAGAATAGAATAAATATCTGTTCTGTTTTTGATTCATAATAAATTAGAATATTCTTCGTTCTGAAAATGATGATAGTGAAATAGAGATGCTCTTCAAGCTTATTTTAACAAAGAATAAAGATCTTATATTCTTAACTCGTACCAGAGCACAAAAAAGCTCTTATGCATAAAACCACCGCAGTATGCTTGCAGTATCTCGATGAAACACACTCGCGAAACGATCCTCCGATTCATATATAACAGATACTATTAAAGTCGCCATTTTCAGTCTTTAAACTTGAATAAGATACATCATGTTTTCATTGTAGATGCAATTTTGAAGGCAAAGTTGAAGTGCTATCAATTATTCCATGCTAGTCGAATTTTAGTACGATGTTTCTATAGTTTTATTCATTAGATGAAACACAGAATGATGACTGTATCGGTATTTCTGTTTTTTTGTTCGTTTTATTAAATATTCGCAAGAGCTCAACAATGACTTATGTAGAGTTCCACAAATGGGCAACAGCTGTGTATCGATTAACATTAATGACATTTATTTCTACTATAGGTTGGAGTAGTTCGAATAGATTTCATTATAACATAAATGAAAAAGTGCGATTCAAGATACGGCCGATGCTCTTATAAAAAGTGGTCTCGCTCAAGGTGGGTGACAGCACGATTCGTTCATTGGGCATGGAATCTACGTAGTTACTGTTGGTTACATCCAATCTGATTCAAAAGCATTCTCAAGCGGTACGAAAACTGAAGTTTAGCATCTATTCTGGTATAAAAATATCAGATGTCAAGTTTTCACTGGTTTATATGAATGGATTTTGATTTAATAGATACGGGAATTTTAACTTGTCTGGGTTTACAATCTGGCTCACTGGAATATGAAACGAAAAATGCAAATACTAATGCATCGTTGAATGTAGACTATTTAAAATACGATAGTTATTGTAATTCGGATATCCAGTCATGCGTGATGCATTGAATGAAACCGGAAGACCAATACTCTATTCTGCGTATGTAGACATGCACCAAACCCAAACCCAAACCCAAACTGTTTGGGAGTTTGGGTTTGGGTTTGGGTTTGGATATATAAGTTTGGGTTTGAGTATGAGTTTGGGTCGGACATCGCCCTAGACATGTACTACACCTCAACCGTTTTCATTTTGATACTTCCAGTATATTAGACAGAGTTTGGGTAAAAGTTTGGGTTTGGGTATGAGTTTGAATTTGAGTTTGAGCAACAATCTATGTCATGAGAAGCTTGGATACATGATCATAATAAAATCTAAACCCAAACTCATCCAAACTCTACCCAAACCCAAACTCAAACCCAAACTCATACGCCCAAACCCAAACCCAAACTCAATATTCAAACTCAAACCCAAACCCAAACTCAATACCCAAACTCACCAAACCCAAACAGTTTGGGTTTGGTGCATGTCTATGCGTATGGTATGATTTACGAGAAAATGATTTGATTTACTGTATTCGAATTTAATTTCAGTACAATGGAGTGTGGGTAAACCAGCAACATGAGTAGCTAATGTTGTCAGCAGTTGACGTACAGCACCAGACGTTGCTGATAACCATAGGTCCATGACTGATGTACACTGTTTACAACGAAGAATACATTTGTCACTCTCATGAATGGAAAATGGTAATTGACAAGTCGAAATATCGTTACAATGAACACCATTTTTCTCTTGTTTTCACAGTTCAAATGTTCTCTTTCTAGATGGGCCCAATGTTGATGTGTGTGAATGTAGCCAAGAAGATAAGTGAAACAATATCGGTCAAATGGGCGGATTTAGGTTTTCCAGGAAATCACTCAGTGCTCATTCGAGATTTATGGGCTCAAAAAGATTTGAGCACTTTTTTGGGAAATTACACATCAGCAAACATCAGTTTTCATGAGGTTACGATGTTAAAAATTACACTCAATAAGTATATCAAAGAAATTCTTTTGTATTTTATGTCTCTGAATAACATATGTAAAACAATTGTTTGTTCACTTACATTTGTTTCTAGGATTGTTCTATTCCAGATTACTTCATTGCAAATTAGCCATTCAAATCCTATGAATTCTCTTTCTTCTTTATCAATATCTTTCGCTTCACATTGACAACTGATTAAAATTATATATGCACGACTGCGATAGTACTAAATATTAGACGCAATGCAAGTTTACAGAAATGTACTTTTTTCAAATAAAGAATAATGACATACATGACCGAAGAAGATGTTCTCATAAATAACCCAGATTCTTCATATCTTATCATTTCTTTCCCATCAGCTTCCCTTGATGATCGAAATATGAAATTGTTCGCTTGAATAACTAATAGGATGCAAACAGAATTCGAAAGGAAAGTCTCCATGATCCTGTCACATCGAACTAATCAAAATTTAGTTCATCCTCGATTTCTTTTGCTTTCAATCCTATGAGACGGAAACAAATCGTGTGTTTATCATTTCATGTCATATTTTTTCTTATAAAAAGACAAAGAATATTTGAGATCTTTTTTCCATTTGTAGCATGTCTTCGAGTAGTGTAAGTCCTGGTCTGCTAATCGCTCCAACACAGTTGAATATCTACTTTGGATTATTTATATATGTAACTGGTGTTCTTGGCAGTATTGGAAATGTAATTATTTACAGATCTCGATCACTACGCGATCGCGCTTGTTCTGTTTATTTACTTTGGCGATCTGTTGTTGATTTTATTTATATGAATTCAATTCTTTTAACACGGATTTTGCAAAAAGGATTTAAAATTTCAATCACAACTCGATATGAATATTTGTGTAAAATTCGTCAATTTGGCTCGAGTTATGGAAATCAACTTGCTTTTATGTTCTTAGCCTTGGCAACACTCGATCGAATCTTCTTGGCACATCGATCAGCTGGTGAACCGAATCAAAACTTTTCTTCTTCATAAAAAATAGCTTTTTCTTTCATTTTAGCTTTGCGCCGATGGGGAAATCGTGTTTCGTTAGCTAGAAAACTCGTGATCTTCTCTTGTGTCATATGGTTAATCGCACTTTTTCATAAATTAATCTGGTATGGCGGTGCAGCGAATGGAAAATGTGAAGCTCAACCGGGTTTCTATGCTTATTTCGACAATCTGTTCGGCGCAATTGTCACATGTCTTTTTCCAATGATTGTTTTAACTATTCTTGGTGTTTTCATTGGACGGAGTGTTCATCATATTGCTGAACGACGACGGGTTGTTCCTGCAGTGGCAAACGGTGGAGGAAATCATGGAGAACAATCTGCTATACAGAAAATGGATGTACAATTGACAACCATGCTCTTCTTGGATATATTTGTTGCAATGATCTCGTTTTTACCGTACGCAGCTAATTTAATTTACGGAAATATTACAGGAAATTGGTCAAAATCAGCATTACAAGTTGCGTGGGAGAATGTTATTGGTGAAATTATCAATTTGTTGTCTTATACGTTTTTCAGTACCTCATTCTATGTTTCAATTATTTCATTGACTGGCTTTCGGGATCAACTCTTACGGGCAATTCGATTAAAGAAACCCAAAGTAACAGTTTATTCACGAACAGCTGTTACGACGAATAGAACTGCTCAAATTTAGTAACTTCAATGCCCAGAGAAGATCAACATATCGATCGATTTATATACCAAATGAGAATAACATTCATCCAACAGAAATCCTTTCGTCACCGAGAGTAATTATCATAATCAAATCGTCACCCCCCTATTCTTATAGTACTTACGAATTGATGATCTTGGACTCTGACATAGACAGACTTGCATATGTCACCCTTCTTGTTTGGGATTTAATGAATAAAATTTTGGAAATCAAAAAAGATCATTGTAGAAGTGATATGAACAAGAACGGTACAGACCAATATATACGAAAAGGAGTGATGTCATAATACTATTACCCCTGGTATCCGTTTAAAAATCGACAACAGTATATCTAAAACCCGGTTGAACTTGAGTGGATTTGGTCGATACCTGGCGGGTAACGAGATGGATATTGACGAATCGCCTTTAAAGAAGTTCATGTTTAGAACCATAGAGTCTAATGGAAACACGTAATGATATCAGTTATCAGTGACAGTAAGAGCTGTCAGAATATAGAAGAGAATGTAATTTGGTACTTGACGCCTAAGTTTTCGAGCTAGCGTAGATAAGTATATGAAGCCCTCGTCGATGCATCACTTGTTGGAATTAAAATCCTAAAGGCCTTTTGTCCACGTATCGGACCTTTTCCCACACCCTAACCTATGTTGCATCCCAACTAGTTCCTAATAATCCGATCGGACGACCATATAACGGACATGTATCTACAAGTAACGCTCATCCTATGGATTCGCCGACCGTTTTCTGAAAGAATTGTTCTACTGCTGAACATATTCAGATACATTGAAAAACAAATAGCGCACTGCGGTTACCATGGGATCTCAGCCAGTTAGATCATGGCTTGTATTTTCTCTTAACTTCACAAAATAATAATATAATCCTACACATTTCACAATCAATAAGTGTAAGATTACAACTAATTTAATCAATATTAAAACAAACGATTTAAAGACGTACGCGGATTGTAAAATCAAAATATTGATTACAAACCTAATACACTCTAAAATTTGACGAAATGATGAACACTTTAACCCTTTCAGGACGGGATTATTTTTTGTAAAGAAACATACGAAAATAAAACTAGATATCAATTTATTCTTTTCTTTCTTCAAGTTTATTAATATGATTGTAATGTATGATATTCTCGAAAACAATTTGCGATACATAAACCTACATTACAGTCTGAACATTCATATTTGGTACGAGAACACTTTTTGGGTCGTTTGTTAGTCGTACTGCAGACAATGCATCTTCGCGATCTTCCACCAGTTAGCGATGGAAAATGGCGAGCTGTGAGTCGCAATGGTGGGAATACAAAAATGAACCCCGGACAACCACAGATCCGATGAACTTCGTGAGAGATTCCATGGTGATCTCTGACTTCTATGATTCTTCGGACAACGATGATGCCATCATCAATCGATATTCATTAGTCTGAGCGTGTTTATAAGTTGTTTTGTCAACATTTCAGTTGAATACATACAGTTTTTACTCAGAGGGCCTCTGTTAATCTGGAGACCGTGTCATTTAAGTGATTTCCTGACTCGAATAGGCATCACACCCACCTCAGAGAGTGTCGGTTCTGCTGACAAAGTTGTAGATCTCGAAAAGTTACACCGATATGGACACTTTGCAGCCTGGACCACTATAAACTTTCGTGCCGTAGAGAGTCTACAATGGGTAAACACCATGAAAATCATAGTTTTTGAGCAAAATGACCCTGATGCTCACTCCAAGGAGTGTTGGTCCTGCTGGTAAAGTTGTAGACCGCAAAAAGTTGCATCAATATGGATAGTTTTCAGACTGAATCACTATCAACTTTTGTGCCGTAGAGAGGCGAAAAGTGGCTTAACACCATGAAAATCATGGTTCTCTGCAGCCTTTGTACTTTCTCCCATACTGAATCAACTGCTTGGTATATGATTGCTCTCAAACGTTTCATTTCATTTTTATGAACATGCTTTATTACAGTACAAAGCTCGTCCGTAATTAGTGCCAACAAATCAGATTTGACATCATCATTGTTAGCGTTCCAGTTGTTCAACGGAATTTAACATTGCTTTGGATGGTACTTTAGAAAGAAGTTACGAGCAGTGTCACTCTGCAGATGATGGTAACTTCTAATAGAATATAGAACACTGGAGTAAGTTTCACTGGACATTTCTTACTAATCTATTCATTCTCTTTTCATTTAGTGTAAAGTGTTCTCCTCTAAAATGCCCATGAACACCATCATAATCAGAGACCTATGGACAAAAACTATATCGTTCTTGTTCACCCTTGCATGGAATCAAAAAGAAAGTTGTTGAAATCCATAATGCATTTTTTACCCAACTCATCGTAATTGCTAAATAAATGGTTAATAAAGTCCAGGGTACAAGTGCCATTATTGTTACGAAAACTTGTGTAAGGACCATACAAACAAATTATCTTTGTAATCGGGTTGCTTTGCAGAGGGCATTTCGTTGAGCGATATTTCTATTACGATAAAGCCCAAAGAAAATAAACAATAATAGTGGTACGAACAAAGTTAAACTTAAAACAAAAACGTTAGTATAATAAATGGCAGATATCTGATCAGCCAAAATGCATCGCCACACATCTCTTACCAATAATATATCACTAAAGAAGACAAATGAAATAAGAAGTAAAATCCAAACAGCGATACTGATGAATATAGGAAGACGAGCTCATTTGGCATTGTTCCATTGTCGAATTGATGCATGCCGGAATGTTGTTGCCCATAAATCGAAAGTTACGAAACATTTCGCAATAAACAATTAAATCGATGATTGAATAAGTAAAATCATACTAATGGAATAAATATTAGTCACATTACGTCCTCTTTTGATTCATACTGTGAAAGGACCGGATAGTTTCGAATTACATAATGATTGTGAAAGTACACGTTATCGTAGTTATTGATGAAAACAAATCGCTTATGAATAACAGCTCATTGAAAGTGCATCTAAATGGGTGATAATTTAACACTTATCTGTATTTACTACTTTTTTCCGTATAGCGTGTGTCTGTTCATAACTCCTCTTTGTTTATGCACATTTATTCTTGGTATAATGAATATTAATTCGTGTTCAATTCAACCACTTATCCCTATTTGGATGGTTATAACTGGTTCTATTCTACTTCTACCAACATTTACTGCTTTTATTTTTGTAAGTCAATATATCGATGTTCATCATAATCAAATATTTCTTTAAAGATTATTCTCTGCTTTCCATTTTGTTATTGTCAACATTGTGACAAAACACTGTATTACAAGTCAGCAACTCTTGTCTTATTTGCTACGAGTGTACTTTTAGGAACATGGAGCATTCCGGTAAGTGTTATGTCCGTATTGTATACAATCAGTCACAATTTAAAAGACATATTTTTTCAATAAATTTATCTATAATAGTTATAAACTCAAATTGAATATCTCCGAAGACCCATCAAAAGTGCTTTTTTATTCTATCACGTGAGAATTCATTTGATTCCGCAGAGATATGACTAAAAGGCAACAAGTATTTTCTATATACTTTGCAAAATTGTATATATGCATACAAAAAAGAATACTGGAGCTTTAGTCATACTCCTCAGAATATACAACTTAGTGCCTGGAGAATTGGAATTGATTTTTCGCTGTTATTTTCTCGAATATAGTTATAGTAACAATATTTATTGAAAACACTTTGTATCTCACCCATTGGCACTCACAGCAATAATCTTACTAATTTATTTGCATATAATTGAGATGTTCTATTTCAGGGCACGATTTGGACGTTAAGCGTAAGAAATCGCTATACATCTGCCGATAAACCTATGACAGACGCTCACTGCCAACAATTGATATATTATTTCGCTCTTGTTTTTTCACTCATCATCGATATTTTGGTTACTTTTGGTTTGATTCTATATTTGATACTGCTTTTTCGAAAAATCAAAAACAATTTTCGTTCCAAATATTCAATGATGAATGTTTCGCAAAAAGTTAAAGATGAGACCGTATTAGTTAGATCAATCAAGTAGAGAGTGAGTCTAATATAAATAATATGAAATTTTGTTACTTGTCAAGTTTTTTTCCTTTATTAAATAAATTTCATTTATTGAGGTTGAAGGTGGAGAGGTACTCTCACCCACTACTAGCGATGTTTTTTGTATGTTCCTACATTTTATAGAAGCACAAACCGTGGAAATTTCCTCGAGGCATTGAAATAGACAACAGCAACAGATTCAGTTGTGAAATCCATTTTCGACGATAGCTCGAGCAAATCATCACAATATAAATTGTCCAGATAATCTTAGCAGTTACACATTTAATATGTTAAACAAAAACTTAAAAATGATCAATTGCTCTTTTCGAATCGAGAATGACGTGGATGAGGAAAATGACGACAATGATATTGCTGATTACCCGCTAGACGAACGTGCTGATGAATACTTATACGATTCTCAAAATGCTGTCGATGAGGGTGGTGATGAGGAGGAGCAGGATGGTATATTAAACTCAAAGAAATCTGATTTCAAAGGAATGAGGATTGCTGATAATCTCAATCCAACTTTAAGACATTCATACTTCAAAATTAAAATAAAAAATAGAAGTAAATATATGCATAAGCAGTCGGCGTGCTGGTTGCAATCGAATCAAATAAAGAAATTATCGAGCGATCGTTAATCTCGTGTCATGCAGCAAACATCTAATAGCAATTAGTAAATTTCTTGCTTATGCTTTCTTTATTCTCAACCGTTGTTACTTTTATTAATAAAGAAAGCAAGTTCTTTACAGTTTTCTAATTTTATTTCATTCTGTCCCACTAAGCTCTAAATTATAAGAAGCGTTTTAAAGTACTTTCTTGTACTTTGAAAGTACTTGCGGCCACTTCACATTACTTTAAGCTACTCCAACTTGCTTTGAGTTACTTCACAATACTTTGAACTATTTTCCTACTTCAAGTCTGCCTTTTCCCCCTTGACAACAACTATAAAGCGAGTAGACAATGTTTGAAAACTGTCTAAACATTACGATTAATTTTGATCATTTATTGTTATTTTCATGTTTTTCTTTTACATTGAAATGATGATAAAGATCAAGATTTAGAGTTTAAGCCATTTGAAAATGAACTATAACCGGCTCGAAATCAATTACGCCAGTTCACATTCACCCTCACCCTCACCCCTCTGGTCCGCCGATGATTAGGACTTGCCCGAAGTCTTTCGACTTCGTGTATATATCGAAGTCAAAAGTAATCTTTAGGGGTGTAAGTAGGTATGCACTGACTGGATTTGACAAGATTTGGATTTGATTAGATTTGAATTCAAGCTTTCTTGAGTTTGATTTTAATACGAATTAATAGCAAATTAGAGCGAGTGGGACCTGACACTTTTTGCAGAGATCTCTGACTTTCTTCATGAAAAGACTCGAATACAGTCGAATTTTAGTTAGAACTTTATTGGCTTTTTTCCAGAGTTGTGTTACCGATTCTCTGTTATGCGAAAACAATGAATATTTGGCTGGATTTGACAGTCAAATCCGATCAAATCTAGGAATTGGATTTGGTGCATACCTAGATATAGTTGATTTTTCAAAAAATGTCCGTGATTTAGCGAGAATATTGCATACGGTTTTTATACCACTCCAACTGGTCTATACAATGCATTGGTTCATAGCTATTCTAGTTTTCTCTTTTTGTAGTTGATTGTGGTTTTATTACGTATATTAAGTTAATTGTTATATTTTCATGCCATTGCTCGAAAGCCTTTCTTAAATTTAAGTTCGATTCTTCCATTTTCACTGTAATATCTTGTTTTTCTAAACCATTTCCCTTCGAATTGGTATTGATCTGAATTCCAAGCAACTTGAACTGTAACATTATTATGTTCAAAATTTCCTGTAGAGTTGCCGATCTCTTCTCGATATGTTTTTATAATTGCTATACGATTAGTATTTATGGAATAAACACCACTAATAATAAATTCACCTATATCATCAATCCCATTTCCATTTACTTCCATTGTTTGCGAATTGAATACAAGTGAAAATTCATAAGATTCATAAAAATGATCATATTGATAGGAATGACTCAACCAAAAACCTGATTTAAATTGATTACAATTTTCTTCTTCAATTTCAATTGTTAACATATTTATATAATCTTCATTGGATGTTATTGGAATAATATTGGACCAAAGATGATCAATTGCCATGTAAAATATAATAAATATACTGATTATTAATAAATGTTCTGTCATAGAATTTGGAATTTTATAACCACTGCCCATCAAAACTATACTTCCTTCACGATAAAAATTATCTAAAATGAAGAAAATTATTCAAAAAAAGGAGGTGTATCATTAATTTAATTACTTGGTTTAGTTCGAGTACAACTACTGTTTGTTGAATCACTAGCGTACTGGCAATTAATTACACTTATAAAAATCATAATAAATAAAAATATACGAAGGATAATGTACATCATAATTTTTTTGGAGTAAAATACAATTTATACAATATTTTTTATTCACTTTACTATGTTACGCTTCACGTCATCAACATCATGCGTTGGGACGAATAAAAACGAATGATGAAATAAATTGTTCGTAGCTCAAAAAGAAATAAATACATTTTTAGTGCACGTGTAACAGAAAAGAAAAAAGGCCTTGAGCATAACTAGACCGTATATGAGAATAGACTAATATAAATGAGAAGCTGTTTAATTCGACTTATAATGTAAGCGCACAATTTCCACTACAATCGAATGTTTATCTAGATATAGATAGGAGTGGATTCGGTCGCACCCTCACCTTCATCCTTAAGATTTATGAATACTATTAGTGAACAAGTAAATTTCTCTCTCATTTTTCGTCGATTAGATCATAGACTTTGCTTGTTTCCTTATTTTCTTTCGATAGCTTCCAGCCACAGTGGTTACCAACTTTTGGTTTCATTTTTCACGACCCGGTTATCACAACAAACAAAAACTCAGCCTAATGACGTAATTTGATGATGATGTTGCAGTACGCGAATTATTACGCAGTCTTATGGTATTGACATTGTTGCCGATTAAGTGAATCCTCGAAGGTTTCGAGCTCTTGAAACACAAAATTCTTTCATCTGATCGAAAACTACAATTTGAAGTGTTTGTTTCTTATTTTCAAAATGAATGAATGCGGAATTTTCATCATTGCACTTGGTTTACATGCAAGAAAAATTGAAGAACTAATAACTTTGCCGAAAGTAAATAATTGATTTTCAAAAATGAAATCCCGGTATTTAATCATTTCTTATTTAGCACAAAGCAGACTATGTTCTTCACGTGCTGTCGAATTTCATTCGAATTTATAGGGATTCATTCTATGCTTAGAACGGGAGGAGGCTGTTGTCTCTCATTGCATGATACAAACTGGTTTAGAATTTTCTTCTTCAAAAGAAACGGAATTAACACAAAAGGCAGTACAAAAACCGAACAAATCGACAAATTGTTAAAACTATTAGAATCGAAAGAAAGATCGTTATCTGATAGGATTTCATCATTGTCTTATTCAGCCGGTGAACCCGTGAGACTTGGTGGAAGAGTGAACCAGAAAAAGTATAGTATCACCAAATCTGAAGCGTCAGATATATAAATAGCTTCATATTGTGACTCGATCCTTGTGTGATGTGTTTTCTATTCAGGCTTTTCTTATGCCCCTGTTTGAAAAGTAACAGTTACATTTTAACAGGTCCTTGTGACTACTACTATCACAGAGTTATCTGAGTTTTAGCTCACATATATTGCTTGAATTAACAACATCTCATGATCGGTGAAAGTTTGCTGAAAAGTTGCCAATACATGTGAAAATGCCCGCCAACACAATTCTAGACTTTGGCCGATTGGTGAGATTCGGAAATCCTTCATTTCCAAGGGTTGAACTGAACTGAAAGCGCAAACATTATAATCTGATTTACATAGTACCAAAGCATATTTTTTAGAACAAGGGATAATATTGCTCATCCATCACCTACCTTGTTCTCTTGATCTGGCACACTCAAGAATTCTGATTGTTTGAAACGACAATCTGTGCGTAGTTATTTCATCGCGCATGAGTTTTAATATTATTGATGTACCTCATATGCTACCTGAAGTCGACGAAGTCTCGCTTATCCCTCCTTGAATCGTATGCATGCATAGTCCAATTCAGACGAATTTCTATGCAATTGTTCGCTCATTTTCATCTCATCCTCTCTGTATGCTGTGGGACGATCTTTGATTATGTATATTTAAAAGTATTCATTAATTAATTTATTACTATTATTATTCATAAAAGAATTGTAAGTTTGCAGCTTCAGCATTGTTTTTTTATTCTATTTTCCTCAAAAAAGTACATACATTTACATGGTATTTGTTGAGAAAAGGACATACATTTTCTTATTTGTCATCTTTTAAATAAAGCATAGATCAGAAATCTTGAGATTTCTGCATTGCATCAACATGTTCTCTGCATCGAGTGCTCCTGGGATAACGCATCAAAGTGTTCCCTCAGTGCAAATCAGTCTAACAGCGCAAAGCAATATTACATCGGGTCGAAATATCTTCAACAGTAATGCTGGACACGTATCAGTTGGTCTTGTAAAAAAGAGAGATTCTTCAAAAATATCGGATCGAAAAAATATCAACCAAAGGCGCGTAGTGATGGACCAAACAAATTCGTCAACTCAAAAAACTATCAACAGTAATTCTGGACACGTATCGATCGGTCGTATAAAAAGAGAAAATCCTTCATCAGCTCTTAACAGTGATAATATTAATTCTGGGCGCTTGTTTATGAATCAAACAAATTCACCAGATGCTCCGCCGTCTCAAAGACCCTCTAATATTAATTCTGAAAATACATCAATTTTTCGTAAGATCGAACAAAAGCTTGATTTGGCACGCACTGGCAATGATATGCGTTCTATGCCTACATATTCGACCAGTCCGTTAAGTTCACAAGATATTTCATTGATTCATATCACTGATTATCGAGATTCGACATCATCATTTGGTATCACTAATCAAAAAAGTATTTCATCAAATAAAGAGTTCAAAGATACCAATGTTATACGTGGCTTAACTCGTCGCATAAACAACGAAGCAGATTTATCGCTTCATAAATCCGGCCGTGCTGGACCTTCCTATACACGGGTCAGCTAATTTGTTGTTGTAAATAATTAATATTTCGTATTAGATTTTATTTCTCTAGTCCAATCGCAAATGGATTGATTTTAGATCGAGCAGAGTATCATCAAGCTTATGACAAGTATGGGAATCAAATAAAGCAGAAGACTATGAAAATAAGAGAAGACGTCTTACGTAAGTCTCACTGAATCAAGAAACAAAACATGAACTATAGTTTATCTAGCGGGTGTGGATACTTTCGGCCATGCCTTTGTTGCTGTTGTTGTGCGCTACTTCTTGGTGCTTTATTAGCTACAATTCTCGGTCTTCTACTTGGATTCAAATCACGTGAGTCTCTCTTTCTTGCTCATGACATTTACAAGATTTATTCCATTGTATTTTAACAAAAATAGCACCGGGAACTAGCACATCAACTCTATCGACGACAACAGTTACAGAAACAAGTATGTAGTACAACTGCTATTACATCATTATTATTACCTACATTCTCTAATAATTTACATTTATAGCTGATACGACAAGCATAACAACAACAACAATAACAAACATGACTACAGATGTCACACAAACCACCAATACTGACACAGTGCCCATTGTCGGTAATACAACAAATATCGATACTGACGCATCGACTGGTGGTACTGATACCATAACTAGTAACACTAACAAAACAACAAGTAGTACAAACGTAACGACGACAACAGAGACTACAACAACTGCAACAACAACTACAAGTGAAACAACAACATCAGCAACCACGACAACTGCAACAACAACAAGCACTGTTACTACTACAGCAACGACCACATCAATAACTACAAAAACAACTTCAACTACATCAACAACAACCACTGCAACGAAATCAACGACCACAACCGCTACAACAACGACATCAAAAACAACATCCACCACATCCCAAACAACAACTACTACAACTACAACATCAACCACATCCAAAACAACAACAACAACTACATCTACAACATCAGCGACCACAACAACAACAACAACTACTACAACGACAAGTAAATTATTCTTTTCGTATATAAATATTGTCTATGTATCACGCACATTGTAGTGACGGTCTGTTCGGGTGCAGGCCTGGGTGCGCTTCTATCTCGAGACACACCAGTTTCGTGGACTCAATTTTCTTTTACTTATGTCGCGGCACAAACGGCACCTATCATTCAATTTGCGTTCAATAATGGTGGAACAAATACTTATTTAGATGGAATCTCTATTGTTGACACGGCCACACCTGGTACTCAACTACTGACAAATCCTAGTTTTGAAAGTTCAACGTCAGTACCACCAACTGGTTGGGTTGCATGGTGTACATACACGTGTGACACCGGCACTAGTGGTCAAATAGTCACTAATAGTTCTGCCTGTCAATCGAATTCTGGTAGTCATTGTTTCTGGAACCATTGTACACATGGCTACGAATTTATTGGACAGAAATTCACTGCCGTAGTCGGTCATACTTACAACATATCATTCTGGCTAGAAATTACTGCTGGAAGTACTTCTCAATTCTATGCTGACATTACTTAACACAAAATATGCCTAATGATTATATATATATATATACACGACACACCGTGACTTGGATATATCTTTGAAAGAATTCATTTTCCTCATTTTTACATTTCATTCAATAAACAATAAATTCAAAAAAGTATTTTTATTAATCACTTGACTGCTCATTTTTTCTAACTATCCGGTAAAATTTTTGCAAAAAATAATCAAGGATAGTGAAAGACATTACAGACACATATTTTTTTTTTCTTTAATGTGTATAGAAAAAAAGAACATTCTGTTTAGTAAAAAAGCTCGAAAAACTTTCTCCTAGGTAAATACATTTTCAAAATCGAAAGTTTCACTCGAACGTTAAATTCACTTATTCAGGTACTTCGCAAATCTCACTTGATCTTTGTCCCCTCAACACACTCACACTCAATGTCCAAAAACCGAATTATTTAATAATCAATAGAAACGATGGATGTGAATGTGAGCGGTCCTTACTCATGTTCGTATCACTCTGATCATTCGTGCTCGTTCTGTTTATTGGTACCATTTCTCTTTCTTTCATCTCCTCTTTCGTTTTTCTTCTTTGTCGAACGCTTTGGTTGAGGCAAAAGGAATCGAAAGAGTGTCAGCACTCTTGTCTTGAAACGTGGATGGTTTCCATCGCAATAATTTTTTCGTGCATGGTGAATGGCTTTTTTCTACAAACAAATGTTCTTTTTTTCTACACCGGTTTTGGACGTTCGTGATGCGTCATGCTGATCGCAACGTGTTGTGTGCATTGTCAACTAGTATTTATTTCACCTTGAAACATAAAAAAGTGCATTACAAAGTTCTGCTGAAAGAATCGAAACATGGCTACCGCACCAACATTACAGCAGTTTCCAAATTATAGCTATGATAATCCACCAAGTTATTACTCCAATCAACCAAGCAACTATAACAATAATCCACCAAATTATTACCCCAATCAACCAAGCAACTATAACAATAATCCACCAAATTATTACCCCAATCAACCGAATTATTATGGCAATCAGCCGAATCAGGCGTATGGTGCTCCATGGACCACTGGCACGCCTGTAAGGCCTGTAAATTACGGACAACAAACAGCTGGAAATCAGCGTTCTTGTTGTCAGGAAATAATGCTCTGCTTAGGAGCGTGCGCGTGTCTGACTTGCTTATGCGAATCTGGTTGTTATCTATGTGAGATGTTATCGAATTAATTTATAATTTCCCGTTTTACTTGTAGAAACGCGGCGTATGAGACAATAAAGCGCACTAATCTTCCCACTAAGATATGTGGATATACTTGTGAATATTCATCTTATACATTATTTCGTACTGTTTTCTGAATAAATTTAAAGACAGATCAATTTTTGATCATCTATACTTCTCGTTGAAACGTGTCCCTGTTGCAAAATTCCAGAATTCTGAAATTTCACGGAATTTCTCCTCTATTACAACACAATCTTTGTATCTAACACTGCACCACAAACGGCATATAGACATCAGTCAGTCTTTAGATAATTAATTGTTAGGATGTGAGAGAGAAATGGTACTGATGACATTGTGAAATGGATGAAATTTGAATGGCTGATGATGACTTTTTCTCACTTTCAGCACTTTTAAAATTTCTTTTCTATAGAAAACTTGTCTCTGCATCTGACGATTTCTTTCCCTTATGAATCGTATTATTCAAAAGCTTTTTACAATAGTGCAAGAATACCTCTACCTACACAAATGGAGTCTGAAAACGAAGTAGTAAGCAGTTGACACATTCAAATCGTGCTTTCATCATCTGCATGAGTTTTGATTCTGATTAGAAAACATGAAGAAATACAATTGTTGAGAAAGTTATCATTGGGATATTGATTTGAAGGTGAGAAATGATCGTTTACGTGTGTATCGAATCAACAGAGAAAAACCAAATTGCATCGAGAGATTTGACATTCCTGGTTTGATATTAATTTACATTACGACTCAACATATCGTCATTCGCATTTCTCGTTATCCTTTAGTTAGGATTTTTTGCAATTCTTTGTTAAACATAGTTATATCACATACAACTGTCATATTCGTCGCAAATATATAGTCAATATGAATGAAATCAACAAGTTTGCAGAAGAATATCTAAACTGTCACTACCAGCATTTCCAACGGCAAAGTCCAATTTGTGATCATCATTAAAATCGCCAACGATGGTTGAAAATGGATGAGATCCATATGCCAATGGAAAGATAATCATATTTTCAAATGTACCATCATTTCTTCCGAGAAACATACCTAAAGTACTACTGCCAGAATTAGTAACTACGATATCTAATTTCGTATCATTATTGAAATCATTAACAGAAATTGAACACGGAAGAGAATTTGAACCAGTGGAATATGTTGTTCGATTGGTAAATGAACCGTTTCTTTTTGCGAGAAAAACGTCTATGGTAGCTGTGTTATAGTTCGCAACTACAATATCGAGATAATTATCATTGTTAAAATCACCACTAGCCAAAGAATAGATAGATGAATTTGATTCAATTGAATAAGTCATTTCTTTATCAAAAGAAAGATTACCATGCCCGAAAAGCATACTCATCGTATGTGTATTACCATTTGCCAAGACAATATCTTGATGCGTATCATTATTAAAATCATTAATAATAAGTGATTGACTATGAGAATTATTGTTTGTTGTTGTAAATATTGTTTTTTTAACATAAACTTCTTTATCAACTCCAAAAAGAATACTTATGGAAGTACTATAGGCGGCTGAAACAACGATATCAAGTTTTAAATCTTGATCAAAATCAAGAACATCGATTCCCGATGAACGAGTATTTGTTGAATATCTTCTTTCATTTTCAAAATATCCATCTCCAATACCAAAAAGAACACTCACATCATTGCTACCCACGTTATCAACTATTAAGTCAATGAAAGAGTCATTATTGATATTAATTGGTATGAACTCTTCTGGCGAATAACCAACGGAATATTTTGATTGACTAATAAATGATCCACTTGTATCTGCAAGATATACAATTATGTTGTTATTGTTAACATCGTTACCAATAAGATCTACTCGTTTATCATTGTTTAAATCAACAGGGTATACGGTCCATATTAATGAGCCATCAGTATAAATAATTCGCTTGGTAAACGTTTCATTTTCATATTGAAGATAAATATCTATTCTCATGGTATTATAAGTAACAATAAGATCTGATTGATTGTCATTATCGATATCGAAAAGGATTATTCTAAACGGAGCGCTGTCAAGAGAATATTTGAAATAGTCGGCAAACGACCCATTTCTATATCCGAGAAAAATAGTTATTTCAGTACTGGCAAGGAGCATGACAACATCTTGAATATAATCCCCATTGATATCACCAATCTGTGCATGTTGAAATTCACCACTAGAACCAGTATTATACTTTGACCGATGAGAAAAAGAACCATTCTTATCGCCAAAAGCAACAATGAAATGATCTCCCGAATACTTATACAGAATAAGATCCATTAAAGTATCGTTATTAAAATCACCACTAATCGCGTCACTTGCAGAGAAGCTAAAAGGTGCAGAACTTATCTGTTCACCGAAAGAACCATTACCATAGCCGAAAAATACACTAATGTCTTTGCTATCGTCATTAATGGTAACAATATCTAATATCGAATCTTTATTGATATCTTCAACTATTGCAGTAGTTATATATGAATGAACGAAATATTTGACTGAATTTGAGAATGTATGATTATTATTTCCAAGAAATACATCGAAATTGCCGACAACAACGTACACAACCAACATATCGAGATAAGTATCATTATTAAAATCGTAAAAGTATGAAGTAAAAGCTATTGCAGTATCAACTATATATTGTTGGTGATTGATAAACGATCTAATCTCTTTTAAATAAATAACATCAACATCTGTATCATCATCATATGTAACAAGAATCTCTGCTCGTCCGTCATGGTTAAGATCACTAGTAGTAATGATCGATGGTACTGAAGTAAAAGCAATATTCTTGATTGTATAATCACTATTTATCTCCTTACCACATTCATTTAAGATATTTAAGTTTTTACTAGTATAATTGAATACAAGTATATATAATTGTTTATCACCATCATAATCATTAACAGTAAGAGACGATGGACGAGAATTTAAGCCAGTATCAATGATGATTTGTTTGGCAAATGTTCCATTGCCATGTCCATATAAGATGCCAATATTATTTGAACCATAATTAGCAACAATAATATCGAGATGCGTGTCATTATTTAGATCGTGTGTATCAATGTATCGAAGACGAGCAGCATCTGCAGAAACATAAGTCATTTTATTTAGAAAATATCCTCGATTATATTGAAATAATATGTCAATACTATTACGGACGTTATCACGCCCAACAATAATTAAATCCAATCTTGAGTCTTTATTATAATCATTGGAAGCTATACGTACTGGATCGTGACTGAGATTACCTTTCAATTGATCTGCGAAAGTACCATCACCATATCCCAAAAACACACTTATACCCGAGCTAAGACTGTTAACAGCTATGATATCTAAAAAGTTATCATTATTAAAATCGGCAACGACTGCATCACATGGACCAGAGCCCGCTGCATATGCTGACTGATTTGTAAATGATCCATTTCCAATTCCTATGAGAACAGCTATATTATTATTATCATAATTAACAAGCAATATATCTAATATTGTATCATTATTGAAATCATCAATTTTTATACTAACTGTACGCAGGTTAACTGCATACGTCACTATATTTGTAAATGAGCTGTTTCCAAGTCCAAGATGAACGCTCACACTTGTGAAAGCCTTTGTAACTACGAAGTCCAATATTGAATCTTTATTCAGATCAGCAATAGCTATCGCTTCTGGAGACACAAGAGACGGATATATTAATTGATTTGCTACAGAACCATTGCCATATCCAAGTAAGATACTCATATCATTACTCACCATATTGATAACAACAATATCTAAATAATGGTCGTTATTGATATCAACAACGACTATGTCGATTGGAAAACGACCAACTGCATATCTTGATTCAATACTAAAAGACCCATTCCCTAATCCAAGAAGAATGCTGATATCATTACTATTACCGTTGATTACAATAATATCCATAGAATTATCATTATTCAAATCCCCAACAGCTGATCTAGATGGGTACAGACCAACGCTATGTGATAATTGTTGAGCAAACGATCCATATTCATCTCCAAGATAAATATTGATTCTATTGTTATCCGAATCACTAATGATTACATCTAAATGATTATCATTGTTTAAATCATAAATAGTTGTATATTCTGAACGTGTTGTACTTGAATATAATGTTGACATGTAAAATCCTTCAAACTGACCAATCATAATGTTTAACGAACCGGTATCATTATTTACAACAACAAGATCGATTCGACTGTCTTTATTAATATAACCCACAGCAAATGATATTGAAGAAGTCGAACCCGTTGCATATGTTTTCGACAATTTAAAAGTGCCATCTTCTTTCCCTACTAAAACGGCTAGATTATTAGTGCCTTTGTTGGTTAAGATTAAATCCAAGGAATTATCCTGATTAACATCACCAACACCAATAGAATATGGAGAGCTATCATCAAAAGTATATACTATCGATGTTTGGAAAATTCTATTTCCATTATTTATTAACATCATAATCGTATTCGTTCCAAGATTAGCAACGACTATATCAAGAAAATTATCATTATTGAAATGCCCAACAGCCACTGAAACTGGATGAGAATCATAACCAGTTGATACGATCATTTGATCTGTGAATTTATTATTATCAATACCAAAAAATATCCCAATATTATCTGTTCCATGATTAGTCACAATAAGATCTAAATGCTTATCATTGTCAAGATCACCTACAGCTAATGCTGATGGATAAGAGTCATAACCGGTGGAATATATCATAGGACTCATAAATTTTGCATCACCATATCCATATAAAATACCAATACTGTGAGTACCATAATTAGCCGTAAAAATATCGAGATATGTATCATTATTTAAATCTTCTACAAGAAGAAAAATTGGACGAGATGATCCAGTTGAATATTTGAGTTGATTAGCGAACAAACCATTTCCCAAATTAAGAAAAATGCCAACATTGTTGCCAGCATAGTTTGCCACTGCAATATCAATAAATGAATCATTATTAAAATCACCTGTTGCAGCCATATAAGGATTTGAATGAGAATCTGTCGAATATTCAACTTGTTTCGTAAAGTGACCAGTTCCATCTCCTTTGTAAATAGCAATATTGGCAACAAGATGATTAACAACAACTATATCAAGCCATGTATCACCATCAAAATCATTGAGAGCAACTCCTCGTGGACCATAATCATATTCAAGGATTGGACTGGATAGTCTTTCATATTCCAGTTGACATTTGATAACTAAAGAATAGATATTCAGGAAGTATTGATATTTATTTATGTTCAGTTTTGATCATACCTATTGGCTTTGGCCCATTGTAATAGACGACTAACGTACCAACGATGATTGCAATACTTGTTAACGTTGCGAACAGACAAGGAAGTTGAATTGAAGTCGATATCCTTTGAACAAATGTCAATTCAATTAAAGTTAATCTTAACTTGATGAGAATTTGAAATATCATACTTAGATGATTGAGACGACGGCGGTATTGGAGATTCCTCAGTCTCTGATGCATCGTCATTATCGACATTAGGATTGATATTTTCCATTGACAACAATGAGAAATATACTGGATAAAATATTGGCTTGATCCGATTCCTCAGAAATGCAGAATATGATTTTTAAAAAAATTATCATCAAATGCAACGTGTGAATTACTTTTATATATTTTATATACGATCGATCAGCATCGAGAAGTAAAATCAATGAATACACAAAACGATAGACGAAACGAGAGAAAATGGTTGATTATATACGTATTTGTTTTACGATCAAGCATATGCGTTTGCATAAATAGAGCATTGTGTCGTCTTAGCACAAGGTTACCGAGACATACAACCTATATAAAATGTACTCGTTTCTCCTCTACGGGCTTATTTTATACATCGATTAATTACCTTTGGACGTTAAAGAAAGATATTTTCGTTGATAATTTAAATAATTGAAAAATACTGTCGAATATTTGTTATTTCTTTAACGGAAATGAAATTCGATTTTGCCATTCTTACCCAATTGGTCGAATAGAGAAACAGTTTTGGACTAAAACTATTTTTGTATGAAAGTTAAGCATGGTACTTTGAGTATTTTTTCTTCTTCTGCGTTTTCTACGTATGTAGAGGAATGGATGATAATATTACAAAAACATTAAATTTAATACGGTTTCCTTTTTGCCGAGAAATATTATATGCCTGACAGTGATTTTGAATGTACGTAGCTGTAAGTAGTTTTGAATTTTCGAACTGATTCGTTAATTGGAAGAATATTAGTACAATATGAATCATCGATGCATATTTAAATAAGAAAGTTTGTTTGTTTGCTCGTTATGTATTCAATCGCTGTGATAGCTACGGTCACCACTAGGTGAGCATCTCACATGGGAGTAGTATTTTGTCCAGATGGTTTTGTACCAGTTAATGTCAGAACACCTTCATCAAAGCTAATTTAACGCAGCAAAAGGTTGAGAAGAGTGTTGGCATTACTGAAGAGAAATGAGAGAAAGATATCTGGGTGCAATCTCATCCGAATTCTATTGTACTAAAGTTTTTTCTTACGTACAATACGGATGAAGAATAAAAAAGCGTCACTTTTGATTTCATGATCTTATACGAGACGGTGGGATACGGACAAATTCTGTCGTGCGTAGGAAATCAACAGATCTTTTGCCGAGAACCACTGTAGATATGGCAACCATATCTGGAAACGCTTTCCGAATCAGGAGATGAGCCGGAGTTTTAGCAGGCACCTCGTCGCGCGAAATCATCAGAAATTCATTCATCCCGTTGGATCCTGTCGAACCAAATTGATACGGGTATTCATCTAGGTATAGCTTTGCCATTTTGTGAGCAGATGAAAAATACCTATCGAATTTTAAGACTCTTCATTCATATCTTTGCGCTCACGCCTTCGATCCTCAAGATTGATCGATCTTTGTTTGAGAAGAATCAAATCCACCTGCCGGGTGCCAACTCTTGTTTTTGCAGCAATCGATCTGTAGTCCATCTGAGGTAGAGCTAGAAAGGTGCTTTGTAAAAGAAAGATATATATAGTTGAACTTTGCCGGCGAGTTTCGCACCTTTACAAACGTAGCTCTTCAGGACTTGGAATGTGAATGCATCTCTTGGTAAATTGTAACTTACTATAAAGAAGTGGAAAAAGAAAAACCCGTGTGTATCAATCCGCAAGAGAAAATAGTAAGCCTTCAGGCTGTGGGATTCCACTGAAGCCTAATAAAATTCTGATGATATTTTTCAAAGTATAGTACAGATATCTAGATTATATTGTCTATTGAATCTTTTCGACGAATGTTACGTTAAATAGCGATGATAGAAGTATCGATTTATACGTGAATATATACTAATTACTTTTTTGTATTTATTATCTGCTCAAAAAGTGCGTGTACTACTAGAATCGATCAATGTATTCCTTATCTATTTATCTACACGATAACTTGTGAAGGCTAATGTGACTATGATGAAAATTTCGATTGTGTAATGTTACATAAAGATCTCGTTGGAATTTAAGGATGAGATCAATCAAAAGACACATTTTGGTTTATGGAAAAAATATTGACATATATATCTATGATCCTTTATATGGTCTAACTCATACACTTTTTGCAGACGCACATAGCTCGTGGATAAAATCTAAAGCTTCCACATTTATGTTGTGAGTGATTTTGAGAAATTCAGTGAATTCTCGTGTAATATGCGAGCATATCCTGCGGGGTCTACTGTTTCCCCCTTGGATCCGACTTTCTGCCAAACTTTAGCCCACACCACGTTCAAAAGTAATCGGCAGCCATTGCTATTTACCAACGTATTGGAAGATTTGCTCGATGTGAATCAATTTGTATTTGTTTGATAACATTTTGCAATCAAATCTCATTGATTTTAATTGTTAAATTGTCTACAAATTTTAGAATACTTCTCTGTAAAATTTTTCATATAAGAAGGCGAAGGAATGACGAATACGAAAAAAGTCATTGTAAGTGGTAAAAATGAGAAAATGTACGCATTAATTGAAATATACCTTTGCCATTTATATTGAATACATTTGATAATAATCATCATCAGAATCGAAGGCATTTTCAAAAGAATGATTAGTAAAGGACTGATGAGAAGATCTTTATGTCGATGGATTTGCTTCATCATTATAGCGACATGTTTCTGTTGGTTATGAGCACGTTGTTTGTTGCGGGTATACTAGATGAGAAAAATGATAGCTGAAGAGATATTGACAAGAAACGGAGTATAATTGTATGAAAGAGATTCATTACAATGGTGTAATATTCCAGTTGAGCAGATGAAAAATTGATAACACACCAGAATCTTTGATCATTCTGTGGATCGATAATTAACATTCGAGTGAATGGTTGGTGTAGTAATGTCACTATTACAAAGGAGATAAACAAAGGCACAATGAATTTTGTTAAAACGACACTTTGCCTTCGGTTGAATTGAATACCTTTGATAATATTAATCATACGTTCAGAAGAAATACAAACTGTCAACCAATCACACATGTATATTTGCAGCGAAAGAACAAAATCCAATATAACACAACTTGTGGAGAGGAACTGTCTGTTCTCAATGGTTTTCATCTGGCTAACGATGAAATATGTAAAGCGTAACACAAATACTATCAGAGTTAGTTGATTGAAAACCGATAGAATGAGCAAATAATTTCCGCAACCCACTTTTCGAAGTTTCGGATCGAGAAAGGTCAGATAGGAAAGAATAGTCGAAACGAGGCCGATGACAAATATAAGAACAATTATTTCGGCAAGCATTGAATCGAATGTAAGAAAGAATTGTTCCATTTTCAATTGACAAAACGATCCACTTGTACACTTCGAGCGAACACATATGAAATTGATATCACTTGAACGTTTCCATTGCAAACATCGACCATGATTTTGGCAATAATTTCGTTTTGTACAATTGTTCAATTCATGATTGAATTGTAAACAATCAGGAAATTGTTCGCTATTGATCAGGCACACATAAGTTTCATCATAAAAACATTTGACATCTCGAAAATATTCCGAGAGAATTCCTGTTGACAAACTACTTCTGTTGCGTGGCAGAAGCGCTATTAAATAGTACGAACCATATTGTTAAGTTAGATCTGTTATGGTTTGTGCAAATATTAACATGGATAGATATCTTTGGTTGTGATCGTAAATTAGCAGATCAGTATTAGGTTGAACATTTCTATAGAATTCAATATGACGATGAAGTAAAATACCTGGAAGATTAGAAGGAGAATGTAGAAATTGCATCTTAAGCAAAGGAATTGAATTGATATTGTCAGGAATGTGAACAGTCAAACGAGTAGTTCGATATTGACAGAAAAAGCTATTTTCTGAAAAAATTGAATCGCCTCGGAAGGGTTGAGATATTCGCTAGCAATCTCATCCAGTACATGCTTTGTTTCATCAAAAACATGAGTAGGATAAAACTGAAACGGTCTCGTCATCAGATCCATCTAGAATACTATTATCTTGTTTATAGTTAACCAATTACTCACATAAACTTACTTGCTTGTTTGATTTGTTGGACAGCAGAGTTCATCTCATCATGGTACATGATACTTTCGGAACATTTTTCCAAACGCAGGAGTAGACGTTCAAATTTCAGAACACGGCTCATTTAAACGTAGGATATCCTGGCTCCCGATTCGAGTATTTCCTGTCCCGATTCGCTCATGCGAGCTTTCCAAGTACACAGACCAACTTTCCAAGTAGAACTCGATGAGCTCTACACTTTTGCAATTGAGTGTTTTTTGAGCAGACCCCCTCTTCCCCCTTAAAAACCCAAAAAACCGTAAAAAAAACAGAAAAAAACATCATTTTTTTAGTATTTCCTGTCCGGATTCGCTCATGTAAGCTTTCCAAACATACTGACCAACTTTCCAAGTAGAACTCGACGAGCTCTACAATTTTGTGATAGAACACTTTTTCGTCAGACCTCTGCTTGCCGCCCTAAAGTCCCAAAAACCACCCCAAATCCTCTAGTTTTTCGTTTTCATGTTCCCGATTCGCTCATGTGAGCTTTCCAAACATTCTGACCAACTTTCCAAGTAGAGTTCCACTTGCTCTACAACTTTGTAATAGAACACTTTTTCGTCAGACCTCTGCTTGCCCCCCTAAAATGCTAAAAACCATCCCAGAATTCACCCACTTTTCAATTTTCACCGTTTCAACTCAGTCAAAAACGTTTTCCAATGAAACAAACATTGCTTTCAAGTAACTCTTCATTACTATCAACAATTTCATATCTTATTTTTCAATTTCAAAAGATATATCAATAAAAAACTACTAATTACTCCTATCTTAGTGACATGCATATTCTGCTCTACCATTCATTGGCTTGTTTCTATCAACCAATAGGAATCGAGCAATGGAAATTGGCTTTTTTTTCCATCAAATCTGTTTTTACAAACTTCAAAAATTATAATTATTGAGAAAAAATCCTTTTCTATTAAATATTTTATTTATCAGGAGCACGAAATCGTATGTGTCTTTGTTCTCAGTGAACAGTGAGATATTAGAACATTTTCTATTGGTCGATTGTTTACAATGAATAAATTGATGAGAATGAGTAAGATAGTGTGATGTATTGTGAAAAAGGAGATCATTGAAGAAACAATGAAAAATAAAAATAAAAATATTGCAACAAAGAAATTGTTCAAAATTTTTTTGGAAATTAAAACTAAATTCAAAAAAATAATTTCTATGAGAAATAATTAAAAAATTTTGATTTCTTCGATTTTCAACGACCATTTGTCTTGTAAATTATATATACAAATAAAGTTATTTATTTTCTTTGAAACTTTCCTTAATATACTGCACGAAGAGGATACTATATATAGTGTGAATGATTTCATTAATGAAACTAATGACAATATCGCACCGATTGATTTAACTAAATATCTGAATTAATTTTTCACTATACGATTGATATGTATATACGCTTAAATGGCAATATTTGAGTAATCAGTCATCTTCATTGAATCTAAGTCAAATCGATTGATGATTGAACCGACGAAAAAGAATCACATAGCGCGACGAAGAATAAAGAATACGGCCTAATTGATATACGTCAGTTCACATCGGTCATGTATCAATTAGATATTGACGAGCATGCCTTTTCGTTAAATTGTGAAAGATGAAATCAATCATCAATTGTATGTTGAAAGTTTTCAAATTGGAGTCAATTACTGAGAAAAAAGATCATTACCAAAAGACTTCATACAAAGTTGTACAGACTAAAATTCGAATATATGTCCAAAGATATTCGAAATATTATTGACAAATCGATGTGTTCATATATGTCATTGAACTTTTGTTTTTAATTGCAATCTCATTGTTTCATTCTTCTATACATCAAAGAGAGAGTAATTTAAAAGGAATTCATTGAGGAAAAGTTACATTAATAAACAAACATGTAATTTAATCATGTACTCTAGAGGTAAATGTTCAAATATATATAGCCAAAAAAGCATAATAATTTTCATTCAATAAAATATTTACAATGCGTTCAATCATAATATTCTCTGCTCTCTTCTTATGTGGCATGTCTGCACCTGTAAGTTAATTTCAGTCATTTAAAGGAATGTTCATAATTTATTTGTATATTACAGATTTACAGTAACTATGAACAGTATGTAAAATATGAAATTTTAAATAAAACGACTACAAATCCTACCACTATCTATAGTACGAAGAAGTTTATTAGTACCAATAAAATGAATATCGTTGATGAAGCTGAACATTCATCTAATAAAATAGATAATTTTGTAAAATCATGTAAAATTATAATACCTTCGATTCTTGGTCTCATCATTTTCCTATATACGGTTTTGTTCTACATAATTAAATTTTATAAAAATAATTGTACATTTAAAGTAAGACATTGATTTTGAAATATTTTTATTATTGATGAATTCTTATAGTGGTCCTGGATCAAACCGAAAACACCAGAAGAATATCAACGTCGTCATCAGTCCTCACAAGGTAAATATTGATCATCTTCTGTTGATAAATATTCATCAGCTTTCATTTTTAGAACAACAAATAGCTTTAACTCAATTAATTCGACATCTTCAAGAAACATCTCAAACAATATATTCAGTTACATAATTTGTTTTAGTCTAATCTTTCGTCTTCTTATCTTTCGTCTTCTTATCTTTCGTCGTCATCTCTTTTGTCTTCTCGTACTTCTTTCTTATTGTCTTATCTAATTTATTCAATAAATGAAATAATATCTCTTTTCTCAAAAATTTTCTTAAAGTACTAATAGCTCTGTGTCTACTCTTATGTTGAAATAATCTTGTTAATACATATCACAATAATACTATTTGCAGATCTTGGAAAAATTATACCATACGTCTTCTGAGTATTTATGAAAACAGATATATCTAACCGACCACAAATATAATCTTATAAATTACTGTGTAGATAATGAAACAGTGTAGAAAGATCAAATCTTTGAAAAACGATACGATGACTTTAACTTGTCTATCTGATGGCTTTTATTTTTCTATCAGTGTCACATCTCTTTTTTTTGTAAAAACAGATTTGATGGAAAAAAGTCAATTTCCATTGCTCGATTCCTATTGGTTGATAGAAACAAGCCAATGAATGGTAGAGCAGAATATGCATGTCACTAAGATAGGAGTAATTAGTAGTTTTTTATTGATATATCTTTTGAAATNAAACTCGTGATCTTCTCTTGTGTCATATGGTTAATCGCACTTTTTCATAAATTAATCTGGTATGGTGGCGCAGCGAATGGAAAATGTGAAGCTCAACCGGGTTTCTATGCTTATTTCGACAATCTGTTCGGCGCAATTGTCACATGTCTTTTTCCAATGATTGTTTTAACTATTCTTGGTGTTTTCATTGGACGGAGTGTTCATCATATTGCTCAACGACGACGGGTTGTTCCTGCAGTGACAAACGATGGAGGAAATCATGGGGAACAATCTGCTATACAGAAAATGGATGTACAATTGACAATCATGCTCTTCTTGGATATATTTGTTGCAATGATCTCGTTTTTACCATACGCAGCTAATTTAATTTACGGAAATATTACAGGAAGTTGGTCAAAATCAGCATTACAAGTTGCCTGGGAGAATGTTATTGGTGAAATTATCAATTTGTTGTCTTATACGTTTTTCAGTACCTCATTCTATGTTTCAATCATTTCATTGACTGGCTTTCGGGATCAACTTTTACGGGCAATTCGATTAAAGAAACCCAAAGTAACAGTTTATTCACGAACAGCTGTTACGACGAATAAAACTGCTCAAATTCAGTAACTTCAATGCCCAGAGAAGATCAACATATCGATCGATTTATATCCCAAATGAGAATAGCATTCATCCAACAGAAATCCTTTCGTCGCCGAGAGTAATTATTATAATCAAATCGTCACCCCTATTTTTATAGTACTTACGAATTGATGGCCTTGGACTCTGACATAGACAGACTTACATATACAAACTCTCTTTTTTGCATATGCCACTCTTCTTGTTTGGAATTTAATGAATAAAATTTTGGAAATCAAAACAGATAATTGTAGAAGTGATATGAATAAGAACGGTACAGGCCAGTTTATACGAAAATGAGTGATGTCATAATACTATTACCCCTGGTATCCGTTTAAAAATCGACAACAGTATATATAAAACCCGGAGGAATTTGATCGATACCTGGTGGGTAACGAGATGGATATTGACGAAATGCCTTCAAAGAAGTTCATTTTTAGGGCCAGAGTCTAATGGAAACACGTAATAGTATCAGTAACGGTAAGAGCTACCAGAATCTAGAAGAGAATGTAATTCGGTACTTTACGCCTAAGTTTCCGAGCTAGCGTAGATAAGCACATAAAGTCCTCGTCGATGCATCACTTGTTGGAGTTAGAATCCTAAAGGCCTTTTGTCCACGTATCGGACCTTTTCCCACACCCTAACCTATGTTGCACCCCAACTAGCTCCTAATAATCCGATCGGATGACCATATAACCAACATATAACGGACATGTATCTACAAGTAACGCTCATCCTATGGATTCGCCGACCGTTTTCTGAAAGAATTGTTCTACTGCTGAACATATTCAGATACATTGAAAAATAAATAGCGCACTGTGGTTACCATGCAGAGACTGGATACTAAGTACAATACTCAGTATTTTTGGACTTTTTTACTCAAGAATTGTAAGTCCAAAGTATATTTCAATAGTACAAGTAAATTTACTTGTACTTCTCGAAAATACTTTAGTACTGATACTGAGTACATTTTTACTCANCTAAACCTTTAGATTAAGAAGCGAATGAATCAATAGCGAACCGTAGAATAAGAAGCCCTTTGGAAAATCAGATAAAAGAATCTACTCTCAGGCGTAGAGTAATGAGCTTTTTTCCGAGGGATAATAAAATCTCCCTCGGAAAAACATGCTGATATACCCTTTTCACGAAAAAGTAGAATAATAAACCTAAAAACGAATAATATAATACCCTCATCATGAAAGCGGACCTCGCTCCACTGTCATCCGTTGAAGAACATACTTGCATCTTAAAATTAAAGAAAGAAAAACCTTTCTATAGCGTTATAAACCCCTTGAGTTTTTATAAACGCTTACGCTTATAAATCCTTTGACTGATCAATCCTCAAATGGTTTATCACATCGAAATAAACCCTTTAAGGGTTTATTGGCAATTTTTTAAAGGGCAAGGGTAGATCATTATCCGGATCTTTTTTTCAGTGCAGAGAATGGAAGATTTGAGTGAGCCATAGAATATATTTTTACTATTGTCAGGTGTAAAGACAAACTGGTTGAGTAGCTGACCGCTTCTCACGGTATCGATGTTTATTGACTACTCTACATGACCAGAATGCATCTCTTTCACAATAAGACACGCGCTTATATAGAGAAGAGGAAAGAGAGATATGACCCGGAGATAGTATGATACAGAGGTGAGAGAATAAAGAACAGAAAGAGATGAACGATATCATTATCGTTATATCAGGGAGTTTCTAAAATGTGCAGGGCGACGGCCGGGCACCCACATTTTTCTGGTTACGCCACTAATGGCGGTTTACCGCCGGTTAACCGATCGTGATAAATGTTCTCTTCATAGCCGGTGGTATACCGCGATTCATTTACAAATTTTTGAATTAAGATTTTGATTTTATAGAAAACGCTTAGTTCGCACTAAAAGTTTCATTTTGAGAAAAGATTCTCAAAAATTAATTTGGAAACCAATCAGCAGACAAGAAGATAATTCAATTTTTTATAGATGGCGCTAAATTTTTTCTGATTGGTGGATAGTGTCCTAACAGTTTTACTGACTGACCACTAGGTTCATTTTCGGTTGTCTGCTGTACCAACTAGCAGAAATATCTCATCAACAACTTCGTCCCTTCTTGCGCTTACAGTTCCAATACCATTTTCACGTGGAATTCGAAAATAGTAAGTCAGTATTTTGGTGTGAAAATACAAATTTAAATAATTATCTGATCATTAGGACTTGCCCGAAGTCTTTCGACTGCGTGTATATATCGAAGTCAAAGGTAATCTTTAGGGGTGTAAGTAGGTATGCACCAAATACAACTCCAACCAAATTCAAATCCAATTCTAGAGTTGGATTTGGATTTGATTAGATTTGAATTCAAGCTTTCTTGAGTTTTGATTTTAATACGAATTAATAGCAAATTAGAGCGAATGGGACCTGACACATTTTGCAGAGGTCTCTGACTTTCTTCATGAAAAGACTCGAATACAGTCGAATTTTAGTTAGAACTTTATTGGCTTTTTTCCGGAGTTGTGTTACCGATTCTCTGTCATGCGAAAACAATGAATATTTGGCTGGATTTGACAGTCAAATCCGATCAAATCTAGGAATTGGAATTGGCTGGAATTGGATTTGGTGCATACCTAGATATAGTTGATTTTTCAAAAAATGTCCGTGATTTAGCGAGAATATTGCATACGGTTTTTATAGCACTCCAACTGGTCTATACAATGCATTGGTTCATAACTATTCTAGTTTCCTCTTTTTGTAGTTGATTGTGCTTTTATTACGTATATTAAGTTAATTGTTATATTTTCATGCCATTGCTCGAAAGCCTTTCTTAAATTTAAGTTCAATTCTTCCATTTTTACTGTAATATCTTGTTTTTCTAAACCATTTCCCTTCGAATTGATATTGAACTGAATTCCAAGCAACTTGAACTGTAATATTGTTATGTTCAAAATTTCCTGTAGAGTTGCCGATCTCTTCTCGATATGTTTTTATAAATGCTATACGATTAGTATTTATGGAATAAACACCACTAATAATAAATTCACCTATATCATCAATCCCATTTCCATTTACTTCCATTGTTTGTGAATTGAATACAAGTGAAGATTCATAAGATTCATAAAAATGATCATATTGACAGGAATGACTCAACCAAAAACCTGATTTAAATTGATTACAATTTTCTTCTTCAATTTCAATTGTTAACATATTTATATAATCTTCATTTGATGCTATTGGAATAATATTGGACCAAAGATGATGAAGTGCCATGTAAAATATAATAAATATACTAATTGTTAATAAATGTTCTATCATAGAATTTGGAATTTGATAACCATTATCCATCCAAACTATACTTCCGTCACGATAAAAATTATCTAAAATGAAGAAAATTATTAAAAAAAAGGAGGAATATAATTAATTTAATTACTTGGTTTAGTTCGAGTACAACTACTATTTGTTGAACCACTAGCATACTGGCGATTAATTACACTTATAAAGATCATAATAATTAAAAATATACGAAGGATAATGTACATTATAATTTTTTTAGAGTAAAATACAATCTATACAATATTTTTTATTCGTTTTACTATGTTACGCTTCACGTCATCGACATCATGAGTTGGGACGAATAAAAACGAATGACGAAATAAACTGTTCGTAGCTCAAATAGAAATAAACACATTTTTTAGTACACGTGTAACAGAAAAGAAAAAAGGCCTTGAGCATAACTAGACCGTATATGAGAATAGACTAATATAAATGAGAAGCTGCTTAATTCGACTTATAATATAAGTACACAATTTCCACTACAATCCAATGCTTATCTAGAAATAGATAGGAGTAGATTCAGTCGCACCCTCACCTTCATCCTTAAGATTTATGAATGCTATTAGTGAACAAGTACATTTTTCTCTCATTTTTCGTCGATTAGATCATAGACTTTGCTTTTTTCTTTGTTTTCTGCCAATAGCTTCCAGCCACAGTGATTACCAACTTTTGGTTTCAGTTCTCTCGACCCACTTATCACAATAAACAAAAACTCAGCCTAATGACGTAATTTGATGATGATGTTGCAGCACACGAATTATTACGCAGTCTTATGGCATTGGCGTTGTTGCAAATTGAGCGAATCTTCGAAGGTTTCGAACTTTTGAAACACAAAATTCTTTCATCTGATCGTAAATTACAATTTGAAGTGTTTGTTTCTTATTTTAAAGATGAATGAATGTGAAATTTTCATCGTTGCACATGGTTTATATGCAAGAAAAGCTAAAGAACTAATAACTTTGCCGAAGGTAAATAATTGATTTTCATAGATGAAATCCCGGTATTTAATCATTTCTTATTTAGGACAAAGCAGACTATGTTCTTCACGTGCTGTCGAACTTCATTCGAATTTATAGAGATTCATTCTATGCTTAGAACAGGAGGAAACTGTTATCTCTCATCGCACGATAGAAACTGGATTAGTGTTTTCTTCTTCAAAAGAAACGAAATTAACACAAAAGGCAGTACAAAAACCGAACAAATTGTTAAAACTATTAGAATCAAAAGAAAGATCGTTATCGGATACGATTTCATCATTGTCTCATTCAGCCGGTGAACAAGTGAGACTTGGTGGAAGAGCGAAGCAGAAAAAGTATAGTACCATCAAATCTGAAGTGTCAGATATATCAATAGCTTCATATTGTGACTCGATCCTTATGTGATATGTTTTCTATTCAGGCTTTTTGATGCCCCTGTTGGAAGAGTAACAGTTGCATTTGAACAGGTCTTTGTGGCTACTATCACAGAGTAATCTGAGTTTTAGCGCACATATATTGCTTGAATTAACACTATCTCATAATGACCGGCGAAAATTTGCTGAAAAGTTGCCAATACATGTGAAGATGCTCGCCAACAAAGTTCTAGACTATGGCCAATTGGTGAGATTCGGAAATCCTTCATTTCCAAGGGTCGTACTAAACTGAAAGCGCAAACATTATAATCTGATTTACATAGTACCAAAGCATATTTTTTAGAACAAGAGATAATGGTACTAACCCATCACCCACCTTGTTCTCTTGATCTGGCACATTCAAGAATTCTGATTGTTTGAAACGACAATCTCTGCGTAGTTATTTCATTGTATATAATTTTTAATAATATTAATGTACCTTGTATGCTACCTGAAGTAGGCAAAGTCTCGCTGATCCTCCCTTGAATCGTATGCATACATAGTCCAATTCAGACGAATTTCTATGCAATTGTTCACTCATTTTCATCTCATCCTCACCGTGTGCTGTGGGACGATCTTTGATTATGTATATTTAAAAGTATTCATTAATTAATTTATTACTATTATTATTCATAAAAGAATTGTAAGTTTGCAGCTTCAGCATTGTTTTTTTTATTCTACTTTCCTCAAAAAAGTACATACATTTACATGGTATTTGTTGAGAAAAGGACATACATTTTCTTATTTGTCATCTTTTAAATAAAGCATAGATCAGAAAGCTTGAGATTTCTGCATTGCATCGACATGTTCTCTGCATCGAGTGCTCCTGGCATAACACATCAAAGTGTTCCATCAGTGCAAATCAGTCTAACAGCGCAAAGCAATATTGCAGCGGGTCGAAATATCTCCAACAGTAATGCTGGACACGTATCAGTTGGTCTTGTAAAAAAGAGAGATTCTTCAAAAATATCGGATCGAAAAAATATCAACCATAGGCGCGTAGTGATGGACCAAACAAATTCGTCAACTCAAAAAACTATCAACAGTAATTCTGGACACGTATCGATCGGTCGTATAAAAAGAGAAAATCCTTCATCAGCTCTTAACAGTGATAATATTAATTCTGAAAATACATCAATCTTTAGTAAGATCGAACAAAAGCTTGATTTGGCACGCACTGGTAATGGTATGCGTTCTATGCCTACATATTCGACCAGACCGTTAAGTTCACAAGATGTTTCATTGATTCATATCCCTGATTATCGAGATTCGACATCATCATTTGGTATCACTAATCAAAAAAGTATTTCATCAAATAAAGACTTTAAAGATACCAATGTTATACGTGGCTTAACTCGTCGCATAAACAATGAAGCAGATTTATCGCTTCATAAATCCGGCCGTGCTGGACGTTCCTATACACAGGTCAGCTAATTTCTTGTTGTAAATAATTAATATTTCGTATTAGATTTTATTTCTCTAGTCCAATCGCAAGTGGATTGATTTTAGATCGAGCAGAGTATCATCAGGCTTAGGACAAGTATGGGAGTCAAATAAAGCAGAAGACTATGAAAATAATAGAAGACGTCTTGCGTAAGTCTCACTGAATCAAGAAACAAAACATGAACTATAATTTATCTAGCGGGTGTGGATACTTTCGGCCATGCCTTTGTTGCTGCTGTTGTGCGCTACTTCTTGGTGCTTTATTAGCTACAATTCTCGGTGTTCTACTTGGATTCAAATCACGTGAGTCTTTCTTTCTTTCTCATGACATTTACAAGATTTACTCCATTATATGTTGACAAAAATAGCACCGGGAACTAGCACACCAACTATATCAACGACAACAGTTACAGGAACAAGTATGTAGTACAATTGCTATCCCATCATCATTATTACCTACATTCTCTAATAATTTACATTTATAGCTGATACGACAAGCATAACAACAACAACAATAACAAACATGACTACAGATGTAACACAAACCACTAATACTGACACAGTGCCCATTCTCAGTAATACAACAAATATTGGTACTGACGCATCGACTGCTGGCACTGATACCATAGCTAGTAGCACTAACAAAACAACAAGTAGTACAAACGTAACGACGGCAACAGAGACTACAACAACTGCAACAACAACCACAAGTGAAACAACAACATCAGCAACCACAATAACTGCAACAACTGTAACAACAACAAGCACTGTTACTACTACAGCAACGACCACATCAATAACTACAAAAACAACTTCAACTACATCAACAACAACCACTGAAACGAAATCAACGACCACAACCACTACAACAACGACATCAAAAACAACATCGACCACATCCAAAACAACAACAACAACAACAACATCAGCGACCACAACAACAACAACTACTACTACAACGACAAGTAAATTATTTTTTTTTTTGTATATAAATATTGTCTATGTATCACGCACATTGTAGTGACGGTCTGTTCGGGTGCAGGCTTGGGTGCGCTTCTATCTCGAGACACTCCAGTGTCGTGGACTCAATTTTCTTTTACTTATGTCGCGACACAAACAGCACCTATTGTTCAATTTGCGTTCAATAATGGTGGAACAAATACTTATTTAGATGGAATCTCTATTGTTGACACGGCTACACCTGGTACTCAACTACTGACAAATCCTAGTTTTGAAAGTTCAACGTCAGTACCACCAACTGGTTGGGTTGCATGGTGTACATACACGTGTGACACCGGCACTAGTGGTCAAATAGTCACTAATAGTTCTGCCTGTCAACCGAATTCTGGTAATCATTGTTTCTGGAATCGTTGTACACATGGCTACGAATTTATTGGACAGAAATTCACTGCTGTAGTCGGTCATACTTACAACGTATCATTCTGGCTAGAAATTACTGCTGGAAGTACTTCTCAATTCTATGCTGACATTACTTAACACAAAATATGCCTAATGATTATATATGTATATGAAACACCGTGACTTGCATATATCTTTGAAAGAATTCATTTTCCTCCTTTTTACATTTCATTCAATAAACAATAGATTCAAAAAAATATTTTTATTAATCACTTGACTATTCATTTTTTTTAACTATCCGATGAACTCTTTGCAAAATAGTTTCGGTTGATTCGTCAATAACCGACAATAGTGAAAGACATTACAGACACATTTTTCTCTTTAACATATATAGAAAAAAAGAACGTTCTGTTTAGTAAAAAAGCTCGAAAAACCTTCTCCTAGGAAAATACATTTTCAAAATCGAAAGTTTCATTCGAACGTTAAATTCACTTATTCAGGTATTTAGGCACTTCGCAAATCTCACTTGATCTTTGTCCCCTCAACACTCTCACCCTCAATGTCCAAAAACCAAATCATTTAATAATCAATAGAAACGATGGATGTGAATGTGAGCGGTCCTTACACATGTTCGTATCACTTTGACCATTCGTGCTCGTTCTGTTTATTGGCACCATTTCTCTTTCTTTCATCTCTTCTTTCGTTTTTCTTCGTTGTCGAACGCTTTGGTTGAGGCAAAAGGAATCGAAAGAGTGTCAACACTCTTTTCTTGAAACGTGGATGGTTTCCATCGCAAGCATTTTCTCGTGCATGGCGAATAGCTGTTTCCTACAAACAAACGTACTTTTTTCTAGTCTGGTTTTGGATGTTCGTGATGTGTCATGCTAATCACAACGTGTTGTGTGCATTGTCAACCACTATTTATTTCACCTTGAAACATAAAAAAGTACATTATAAAGTTCTGTTGGAAGAATCGAAACATGGCTACCGCACCAAAATTAGAGCAGTTTCCAAATTATAGCTATGATGATCCACCAAATTATTACCCCAATCATCCGAATTATTATGACAATCAGCCGAATCAGGCGTATGGTGCTCCATGGACCACTGGCGCGCCTGTAAGGCCTGTAAATTACGGACAACAAACAGCTGGAAATCAGCGTTCTTGTTGTCAGAGTAGCTGCCTAATTCGACTTATAATATAAGTGACCAATTCCTAACACTCTGGGGAATAGAAATAGATTTAGTTTTCCTTATACTTACATACCCACCCCCCTGTGAGTTTAGGAATAGACATAGAGTCAGTTTTACTTATACATACATATCCTCACCCCTCACCCACATTCACACCCACACCCAATATTCTCTCGGATGAAGCGTATTTCGCCGAGAAGGGCGAATACTTGCGATATGCTTCTGAGCAAACGATAATTAACATCGAGTTTAGAGAAGAGATCTACTTTGTTCAAAACAATTAATTGCCGATTATCAGTCGAGGAGCACTCTTCTTTCGAACAGTTCTTTTAGTTTTTCACTTATAGAAATATTTGCAATGGCTTTTCTTCTCTACAAGCTCTGGTTTCATCCCATCCATTGGCGTATTCTAACATCTCGTGACGATCTAGTTGACGATGAATTGCACGTGAACCACACTCCAACGGAATCACATCTATCGCTATCATCAAAACACCAGATTTTGTCCAGACGAACAAGAAGAAGTGCGAATGGTCGATGTTGGTGTCCTCAAAAATCCCAACGTACAAAAGATAATATAAAACATTCAACAAAACTAGAAACCATCGAATACTTAGACGAGCCGTTAACTTCACCACTTCTTTTAGCGACTTCGTCTAATCAAATAGAACACCAACAAGTGACACTCTTTAAGTAATGTCATGTTAGTATTCTGTAAGATGATTAAATGCAAAAATAACTTATGTCGTAATTCATTTCACAAATTATCAATCTTTCTTGTTATACTTTTTCGTGATATAAATATAGGTACAAACATCTTGAAAATGTTGAATGAAATCTTATCGATGAACTTAACTCTCACCCTCACCCAATATTTGTTTGTCATTATTAATTCATTCGTTGAATAACATCATCGGCATATGTCTTGCCAGCATTCAGATCCTTTTCTGCTGTAGGTTCACCTTGATTCCATGCTCTTGCTGCTTTATGGTAATCGTTACCATACTTTTTTAGAAGATGCTTGGCATAATTCTCTGCAATTCGGTCTTGTTCATCAACAGTAGCATCTTTTGCATGTATTGTTGATCCACCTAGATTTTTCCATGTTTTATCAATAAATTGATAGGCTCCAGAAGCAGAACTCCGTGAATTTTGTGCTTGATAATTATTACTACTCTCTTTAGAACGAATTGCTGATAAGAATTTGTTAACAGACATCCCTTTATTTATTTTTGATGTATTAACAATCTAAAAGAAGGGGAAGAAATCATGAGAGAATCTATCGAAGTGACGTACTTTTCGAACATCTCGGAAGTCCAAGAAAATTTTTAAAAAGCTGAGAAAGATAGAGAAAGAGCAATAGATAGTCGACTCAAGAAAAACTTTCAAATACGTCGACATTCTTCATTTATTGTTTCAAAGTGTTTATACATCATATTGCAAATAATGTAATCAACATTTGTACAATAATCGTGCAAGTATCACATCTAGTCAAAATGATATATTTTATGAAAAAACATCCAAGCTTGAGCTTTCAATATACTAACTCACTGACTACTCGTCGACGTTGTTATGAAAGAAATGTCACAATTTGTGTGCTTTTACTCAACTAAATACCTACATTATAAAGCGATAAGATACCTTCTTGTTCTTATCTTTCTTTTTTTTAGTTGGACTTTTCTCACATATTTATATACTACGTATGTTGAAAAGCACGAATCGCACCCGACAGGCCGAGAGAAAGAATGCCTTATCGTCAACTACAGTCTCGCCCACCCCACTTAGATCATAGTTTTCTAGTCATTTTTACCAAGTAATTCTGAAGTTTTATCTTTACTTGGTAAAAAATTGCATAGTGTCTGATTTCATCGGAATGCAGAGGAGAAAAGACTTTTGCGTAGTGATGTATACATGCAGTGTTTTATTTTTCAGAAAAATATTTTGTATTCTTCTATGGTAACTATCGAAACGAAAAATTTAATCTAATAAAATCTGCTTCTTTTTAAATTGGTGACGGTGTCCAAGGGTACTATTTTTCTCCTCATCCTCATAGAAGATTCGATGGAAATCAATCGGACGTCGATTGTATCTACTTCTTTAAATATGCATAACACTTTATTCATTTTTAATACTTCCTAAAGTTTTCTTGGAAATGAAGTCAATCCAACTGCTTGGCATTATACTGAATATCCAAATAAGAATCGAGTGTGGCCAATATGGAGCGATGATATTTGTTGCGCCGACATGATCGCAAACAGCTTTTGCAAATATGTTCGAAGTAGGTCTCATAAAGGTTTGTTCAGCACGATTACTTGATGAAACGACTGAACCAGCCAAATGAAGTTCTACTCGCATTCCTGGTGGTGATTCTCGACGGAGAGATTCTGATAAACTATGTTGAAAAGATTTACTACTTGCATAAACAGAGAGAAGACCTGGTGGATAAATTCCAGCATAGGATCCAATGTTAATAATTAAAGAATGTGTTTGACGTTTAAGAGAGGGTAAAACAATTCGAATTAAATGTGTTACAAATGAAATATTCAATCGAATAATTGAATCAATATTTTCAGATGAAAGTTCATCAAGTGGTTGAAAATCATTAGCAATAGACACATTATTGATTAAAACACTGATTTCTAATACACCAATTTCTTGTTTCATTCTTTCAATATCATCTAGAGTAAATTTTGACCCATCCATGACAAAAATTTTGCTTTCGCCTTTCAATTCTTTGGCTACCATCTCTAATTTCGTACGATTACGTCCATGAAGAATAACTCTAAAGCCACGTGACGAAAGTTCCAGAGCAGTAGCTTTGCCAATTCCATCAGATGCACCTGTAACTAAGGCCCAACTATGCTCTGAATGATACACCATTAACGATGAACGTCGATTATATATGTTTATTACGGAAATTACACGAATGAATAGTCGAATAAAGAAAATAAATCCAATTAAAGTAAACATATTGTAAATAAACGACATTCGAAAGATTCGATTTTATTTTAATGAAAATCTAAAATTTCCAAATTATCTTCTCTAATAGAATATTTTACGTTTAGTATGGAGGAACTATCATGTTAGAAAAAGGCATTGGAGCTAGTTAATGGGAACGACATATTCACTTTTACTGTCATTTATATGCATGCACATGGTTATAGTTGTATGTTACAGAAAAAAGAAAAATGTTCTCTTTTTTTCTCTTCTCTTTTTAACGCAACATGTTTTTACACAGAACGACAAATGTGAGGTAAGAGTAAGACGCCATTTTTCTTGTACTTCTAAGTACTAAAAGTACGTATGGTATCGTAAGGTCAAAATAGTTCTTCTTCGACGAAAACCAATGAATGAAGACTTTGAGAACTTTTTTGGCTTTCTTTTTGATATTTTCGATGTTCCATAATTTTCAGATCAATCCAATATTCGAGTGCACAAGAGCTAATAAATATAGGCCATCAGGTATCGCATTTGAATGAACTTCTACTTCATATACAGTTGTTATAATAAGTGAAAAAAGATTCTCGTTGAAATTGAGTTAGCAAAGCATTATTTTCCCATCGTGTCCCAAAACGGAGAGAACATTGGTGATGTTGCATTATTCATTATAATTGATGAAATTCGATGTTTTGTGTGGAATCACTGATGAAAACCGATGGAAAGCTTCACAATAATACGTTTTTCATCAATGTTCTCTCCGTTTTGGGACACGATAGATTGTGATTCATCACGAAAAGTTGTATGGACTGCGAGTGGTTGACCGTCTTTTTTGTATTAAGTAAACTCAGACCCATCGAATCTAATTTACTGATAAGATTAACCAAAACTTGTTTTGCTGGATAAGTTATGTTCAAACTTGAATATCAAAGGATAAGGGTGTGATGAATACATTGTCTTTACTCACATCTCGCATCCTCACATGGGTTATGTCAGAGACCGTGATCGATTGAGCGTCGTTATCGAGAATGAGACGTTGTTTTCTAAAAGCATAGTTCTGAAGATATAAATAAATATGAATGCAGAGTGACAAAAAATTGATTACTCTGTATATTCAAACTCTCTCAGCTCGATCGTGTTTCACATTTTAAATCCCGTTACACTAAAAACGTTTCAATGTGTTTGACGTTTAAGTTGCGACAGACATATATGCAAAGACTTTGGGTTTTTTCGGCCACTTTTTGTTATATGATCTTGCTTTCAGGCGACAGACTAATGCATTCCAACTTTATATAGACAGCCTTGTGACAACATTTATGTATTCATCAATTAACTCTTTCAAGCACAAACACATGACTCTTGTATATATCATTATCTTCTCCTTCCTGTTTATAATACCTGTTCACCTCGTCTCACAACACATTCATCTTCAACGGTTCATCTAATGATTGTTTTCTCTTCTTCGTGTTTCTCTCTCTGTCCGTCCCTTTCTCTTTCTGTTCTCGCTTGACCGATGCACTCAGAAAAAAAGAGAAGAGAGGGAACCAATATAAAAGGAAAGGTTTTGTTGAGATAAAGACAGTTCGAATTACCTTAAATAAAGCTTGTCGTTTCAGAAGTGCTTAATTTCATCAATTGCTGTTCCATCCTTTTCCAAATCAAACACTGTTTGATCACTTCCCTTGTTGACATATTTGCAGATATATTTGATTGACTTCACCGAGTTGCAATATTCCACATTGATGTGGGCTTGAAAGATCCGACTGAGCAGTGGACAATATGACGCAATCCATTTATTGTCAATCTCAATTTCTAGAACGGAATTTCCAATTTTCATTGAAACTTTGGCTTTGAAACCACCATCTTCCCAATTTCTTCTTCTACATAATGGATATCCGTCGTCACCAATTTCTGTTTCGCGTAAGAGTTGTCTTGGATATCTGTGCTGCTATATAATAATACGTAAATTGAAAAGGTAAGATTGTAAGAACTATTTATATCAAGGCATTTTCTTTTTGTCGTATTTACGGGAAAAGGTCCACGCGGTGCCAGTGAAAAAGCGAGTCTCTTTGGGTAGAAGTACATCAGGTTCAAGAAGAATGGCGGTCACAAGGGGCTACGCGAGCGGCTGAAACCCCACAGCAGAGACGAACTCGAAGTGATGATCAGCGCAGGTGACAATCAGTCTCAAGAGCAAATGAATGGACATTCATGGAACGAGAAGCGTTTCAATATGATCCAGCCAAAAACTACGATAGTCATCCTGAACTTTGTATTGGACGAATGACCGATGTTTGCTTTCAAATGGCATCTTTTGGAGTGTCGAATGAGTTTGTTGACTCTGGTTTCATGCCTACCATCCGAGTTCAAGGACAAGTATACCATCCTGTAGGATCTCTGTTACCACCTTCCAATGACGAACCTAAATTTCTTCAAATTTACTTCATGGGTGATGATCGGGAAGAAGTAAAACAACGTTGTAAAAACCTACCTGGCGTACGTCCGGAAATTGTCGCGGAATTGCAAGAAATGATTCATGAGCATAACATTTATATTGATCTTTTCGAGACTGCTCTTCAACGAATGCCTTCTGATCAATACAAGATGGTTATTCGAGCGGACAAAAAACCTGCTGGAGAGCATGCAAGACGTTTCAATGAACCTGTGGTTAATGAGGTGGCAGTCGTCATAGCTGACAATGAATTTGATAGACGAGATGTCGCTTAGAGAAGCAGAACAGGCAGCTACAGAGTGTCTGGGACACATAGATCTTATGACGCATTGCAATACCCTCCTATCTTTTGGGAAGGAGAAGATGATTATCATTTTTTGTATTGCACAAACCAATCCCACAACAGGAATAGCTGTCGATCGTAAGAAAGTATCGGCTATGGATTTCTACACCATAATCAGAAAACACTTCGGGTTGATGAATACATTCATCTGAGGGATGCCATAGCCAATGATGGAAGTGCCAGTAATATTGGACAGTTAGTGATTTTACCATCTACTTTTACTGGAAGCCCACGGCACACGCACGAGTACACACAAGATGCTATGACATACATAAGAAACTACGGAAGGTCCGATCTCTTCGTGACATTTACGTGCAATCCTAAGTCGCAAGAAATTCAAGAAGAACTATTAGAAGGTGAAGTTCCCTCTAATCCTCATGATCTGTTAGCCAGAGTTTTCAGGCCAAAGCTCATAAAGGTGATTAATATCGTCACGAAGAGCAATGGATTCGGGCCGACAAGATGTTGGATGCACTTCACTGAGGGGCAAAAACGAGGCTTACCGCACGCACATATATTGATATGGCTAAAGGAGAAAATCAAAGCGGATTAGATAGATAGTGTAATCAGTGCAGAAATACCCAATCGTCAACGAGATCCTTATCTGTATGAAACAATCACCAAAACCATGGTTCATGGCCCATGTTGAACTATCAATCCGAAATCTCCCTGTATGGAAAACGGCAGGTGCACGAAAAGATATCCAAGACAACTCTT